GAAGTAACTCGGTGCGAAATCGTGCACCAATCGCAACAGGTTCTTAACACATCTGTTGAACGCTGCAAGGGCATTTCTTAGCCCCTGTGGCATCACTAGCCACTCCCAGAGCATACCACGGGGGTTGCTCACTGCTGTGTACGGGATGTCCCATTCACGCATGATGATCTGACAGAATCCATCCATCAGATCCATGGACGAAAAGATGGTTGTCTTTGCCACACCATCTATGATGACGTCCTTCCTTGGTATCAGCGTTTGAACCGGTACCGTTGCATCGTTCATTTTGATGAACGCGTGCACTATCCGTCACCCTCCTGTGGCCTTTCGCACACAGAAAGTCGGAGAGCTGTGTGAAGATGTTGATTCCCTCACATGACCAGCCGCTAATCGATCGGCAAAGAATATGTCGATCGCTGTGACCTGTTCACGAGGCAGTGGCCACTGTTTAATGACACAGTACTTCGAACCGGGTTTCAGTTCGATCTTATGCCGAGTGCCTTTGTCCTTAGGCGGCTCGCATGACACGGATTCAGGAAACAACCATGAATTAAAACCAAATCCTTTTAAAAAGGCTTTGTCTTCATAGACTACCAAGATTGAAAAGTGTATCGCTCATCCGGGTCTTCTCATCGAGGACACTGTTGTCCATCGATGAGCTACTGGGAAACCGTTCCATTTCAGTAAACACTTGTGCCGACCGAAATTCGGCGACGTACTCGATCTCTGTGACGAGTCCGCAGATATTCTTGATCTTGTCACAACGCAGATCTCGCAAGATTCTTTTAGATTCTAGCGTTGGCAACTTGACCACCTCCGAAGCTGACTTCGAAGGTGTAACCAGATCAAGTGTATAAGCGCCTACACTTGACCCGTCATTCACCAAGACATTCACTGTCTCGGTGATTTCCTGGGAAACACATCCGCAGGTGGTTGGGGATTCACACCCTCAACATAACTCTCCCGGGAGTTATCACTCTCAGGAACGCTGTAACTTCTTTCCATTATGTGTACTGATTGTGGATGTACTACCACAGTCACGTCCTCTTCGATCGACTCTCTTTCAGTCGATCGGGCTTGCTCTACGATCGACTCTCTGTTAGTCGATCTCGCTTTAACGTGTTGTTCATCCTGAACAACACTAATCACTCTTTCGGATGCACCCTTCTTCGTGTGCATCTGTGTTCCAGTCCACTCGATCTCTTCGACCGGTGAACCTTTGGCGCAGCCTGTGTCTCTACACAGGTGCCGGAAGCTGGTTCCACAGTGCAGTGGCCTTCTACACTGTGATCTTGTGCAATCGTACTAACGACCGTACCACAAGTGAGGCCATCGAACTCACTCGTAGAAATTCCACGCTTGTGGACGCTCCAAGACGTTCGTCAGATGGTCATGCGACGAAAAACGTCAGGCATCTTCACGGATCGATTCTGCCAGCTGATGCATGCCCGATACTTTCTAAGCCATGTCAGACCGAGGATGACATCAAATTTGTCATCCAAATCTAGTACGACGAAGTCATCATCGTACTGCCTTACTTCTAGCGTGTAGTGGATTCCCACTACACGTTTGTTCACTGTTACGGATGCGCCTGTAGCAAGGCACACCGTCATCCTCGTTGGGGGGAACTCTCGCTCAACATAGTTGAGTCTAGTATCCCTTAGCGACTGGCGTCGAAAAAAAATGTTCGACTCCCCACAGTCAACTAGGGTGCGAAGTGACATTCCACTTGTCACTTCAATCTCCAAAGTGATATGAGACATCTCATCACTAGGGGCAGTAACACACAGAGACTGCGTGTTGGGAGAAATCTTCGTCAAGAATCCTGAAAATTCTTTTGACGTTGCGGGGTGAGCAGGGTGCTCCTCCCCTACTGACCCTGACCATTTTTTTTGGCGATCCGACTTGCTGTCGTGCTAAGAGACACGGTCGTACCCTCGCCTTGGAACTTTCCTTGGCCAAAGGAGGTCATCACGTCTTGTCTTTGGATGTGATGCGGTGCTTGGGACACTACACTCATGAGCGTAGTGTCCAATCTTCTGACAGCGATGGCATCTTGCCGTTCGCTTGTGACTCAGAGAGAGAGATTTCTTGCTCATGATGTAACAGAGGTCCATTGATTCGGTACCTCCGGTTTCCTGTCGTCTCGTCGAAAGAGAATTTGACGAATTAGCCTGAGACTGTCTCAGGCATAAGTCTTCTTGTTCCGCATACGCTATCGCCCTTTCCGGCGTATGGAAGTACTCTCGAAACACGTATGTCTTCATTAGTTCATCTACAAGGCCGTAGATGAACACGTTGATGAGCGTGTGCTCATCAACAGGGTTTTCCGTGACGCTACTCGCAAGGTAGCGTAGGTGTTGTGCGTAATCGTGCACGTCACGCTTATCTTACTTGAGCCTCAAGAGTGCAGAACGTTCTCTGAACTCGGCTCTAGGCACCTCAAACGTCTCTTTAAGCCGAGACTTCATGATCTCCAACGACTCAAACACGTTTGGGTCGTGAAGCATGAGCCCTAAGGCCCAAGTCTATGCTCATCCCGTCAAATTTGACAGGGCGAAGGTGACTTGCATATCTTCACCCTCGATGTGACAGGCCCTGATGGAAACTCGACGAACCATCTCAAAAGGGAATCTTCATCGGTTCTCTTTCACCTTGAGATATCTATCTTCAAGGTTTCGGGTCGACGCATGCGCGTCGGACCGCCTATCGACTGATGAGAGCCTTGCTGTTGTAGCAAGGCTATTTTCTGTCGTTCGACGGCAAGTTCCCCTTGTAGGAACTTGTTGATAGCAGCATGTTGCTGGTATCTGCTTAGAGACTCCAACTTACCACTGATGGCGGGTTCGCCCCTGAGCACACTCATGCGGCCGACTATCACCCATTCTGGGTCACTCAGATGGGAGTAGCCTCTACGTGTGACGTGAAAGCTGTCGTCTTTTACGTACAACACGTCCATGTTGGGAGGACACCAAGTAGTCGTTGGACGGACTACAAAGTGCTACCAGGTATAACGGGGCACCCTTTGTCTGGGTGCCACGAAAGTTCACGTACATTAGTACGTGCAGAGGAAGCTAATCTACTCAACAACTAAGCTGAGTAAAGGTAAAAAGAGAACTGTATCTCACCTAGTTAATCCATCAATATAACTTTAATCTTCATCTAACGATACTAAACTACGTCGTTGTATGACGAAAACTTGCTCACCACTCATTGCGCGCGTCTAGCAGCGATTGGTGGTAATCTATGGTTGATACATCTTTTATCGACCAATCTTTGAGCAGCGCATGTAAATTATCCTAAAAGGGGATAATATTCCTTTAATATTATCTATCTCGGATAATACAGGTAGGGGATTGTCATGCTAGACAATATCCCTATTGACACCGTCTGGTGTCAATATCATGCAAACATACGCAATTTCAAAGCACTCGCGAAAGGAGGCTCCGTGATGCGTGAGTCGTGATCCAAGCTTGCTGACGAGTAACGACCTTAGAACAAATATCGTCCTTAGAAGGGGTGAGTTTAAATGGAGTTGTGATAGCGTACACTCCTTGCCTTTTTAGCGACCCAGCCGCAGGTTGTGGTTGTTCTTGTGTGGTAAATGTGTAATGCACTCTTGGTTTTAGAAGGTTTTTCAAATGAGTTAGAGTTAGCGCAGAATAGAGTAGAGATCACTTCCCGATTTTTAAGTCAAGGACGCGGCCCCCTGCGAAGGGGTTCGATATGCGTCTAGCTCGTTTTTAACACAAAAGTTTTTAATTACGTATCTTTACTTTCCCACAACTTAACACAAGCACAAAACGCAAGTCGCAGACAAGCCAATCTCTATCCCACCAGAGTTTTTCTAACAACCGCAATGTCTTAGCAATAAAGCAGTGGTATTATATTCTCCCCCCCCATTTTTTACTATTTCGACCCCCTAGAACCATAACAGGGTTGCTTTCCAGTATATAAACACAGCGCTGTGTACAAGGTCACGCGCCACATGATTAATACTGTACGAATTGACAAGAATGTGGATGATACTGTAGGTTACATTTGACTCATACGAGCTCAACGCTCCTATCAAAGAGCAGATGATGACGAAGAACGGACCTTTGCTTCAGGCCCTAAAATAATAGCGGCGTTTCTACACTTTCTTCTCGTCGAACAGCGCTTGAATAGGCATACCCCATTTACGCACTCTTGCGTCTCTTTTGTTTTTCATTGCATATGTTCCGGCTGAAGCTGCAAAAGTCCTGAATTTCCTCTTGGCGTAATGCGATTTGCTCTTTTGGCCGCTCGCTGCTCGCTCAAGCCGAATGCGCTGGCTTTGTTGCTCAATTGTTAGACGTCTAGCACAATTATATAAATCAAGGTCTTTATACATTTCGGTTGTGTGCTGCTTCATTTCCCGTCCCCTTCCATAACATGTGGACGCCGATATGTCGAGCTATGAACCTGAACACTTATCCCGTGAGCTTTGTATTGATCTTTCGATCGACAGCAGTTAAGTTGAATGATTCCGCTCGATCGCACACAACGGTCATTTTTCGGACCTGAAGATCGAAAGTGAAAAATTAAGCACGTGCGCTTCCATTCAAAGAGCCATAAATCGATCTCCACTGCTAACAGAAACCTGACTTTGAAGGTTCGATCCGACTCCATCAATGTACTTTTAGATCCTTTTGAAGTTGCAGTGTTACAGTGTGAATAGCAGTGTGTAGACGGATCGATATAGTTGTTGCACATTGATTCAAAATAATGGTGTTAATTACACCCTGTTTTGGTTTCGGGGGGGGGGTGGAAATAGTAAAAATGAGGGGGGGGTGAAACTATCGCTACCCTAAAACAAGCGTATTTTGCTTTTTCTCCTTTTATTTCAACCAAAAAGAGTTGGCAAAGGTGAGTTTATTTTGCAGCATCACACTATGTGCTCCACACCATCTTCCATCCCCGTACGTACTCATAATTTCAACCAATCACAACACTGGGAAGACCTGACGCCTGACGCGGTCATGCGGTCCAAGCAGCTGGAGCTGTTCGCCAAGATGCACCTGGGCATGGACCACGTCCTGGCAAAGCTCTTACTGGATGCGCCTCGTCTTCCGGACTCGATGAAGTTGCAGACGGAGACGCAGTCGCTCGGGACCACGTGGGTCCAAGTCACGCAGGCGTTCGAGAAGCGGCAAGCGATGCTGCAGCGACGGAAAGAGAAGGAAGAGAAGAAGAAGAAGAAGCGAGAGGAAAAAGGTACGGAAAGTGACGGAGGTATGGAGAAGTCCAAGAAACAGGGAGGAAGGGGTGAGGTGGAGACAGTGGCGACGGTCAAGCAGAAGAAGACGAGCACAAAGAGTCGCTTGAGTGCGTCTCCACGCTCTGGAAAGAGCCCTTTAGCTCGCGATGACATGGAGATGAAAAGTGGCAAAAAGAAGCAAATGAAAAAGAAGGAGAAGGAGAAGAATGAGGGGGGAAAGGAGGAGAAGAAGAAAAAGAAACCAGTGACAACCGGGGTGTCGCCTCGTGTTGAGGATATGAAGGCCAAGGTGGTAAAAAAGGTTAAAGTAGACGAATTGAGCGCACACGATCAAGTGATATTGGAGAAGATTCGGAAGCTGCCCATGTGTCAAGACGTGGCCTTTGGCAGCAAAAAATACAAGGCGATTGCCAAGTGGATGGAGCTCGATAAGGGAAACAATGCAGTCATGCCATTGGAAGTGGCCAAAGTGCTGGATGAATTGCAGCTGGATGCTGCGGTCGATACCACGAGCAAGCCGAAGTTGAGTCGGAAACGCTCGTTAGAGACGCTCGACGATGTTTTGCGGGCTGAGAAACGGAATAATCGGCAACTGGCAGCAAAGGACCGCAAACGGTATGAAAAAAAGTCTGCGCCGCATGTGGATGATGAAAAAGCGGTACATCGATCAGGAGAAGAAGAGGCGACGATGGAAAATCATGAAGATTCTCCTGACTCGGAGGAGGCCGAGTTCGTGCCAGATTTGAGTATCTGTAATCCATCTTTAACGACGTCCAACAAGAAAGAAGATGATCGGGTACTTAAAAAGCAGAAGCAAGAAGAAGAGACAGTGGATCAGGTTAAAGAAGAAGATAAATCGACTTTACAGATGGCACCGACGACTCAGCCTGCTGCAGAGTCAGCACAGACTTTAGCGGATGAAGCGGCTTGTGTCGCAAAAGCCAAGTACCTGCTTTATGAGAAGATGGCAAAACCCATTGTGACAGGAGATTCTGCAGAATCTGCAATATTCTTGGACGATAGTGAAGAAGTGGAAGATGAAGACGAAGAAGAGGAGAGTGATGAAATAGAAGAGGAAAATACCAAAGAAGTGCAGAAACATGATTCTTCCACTGACGATGACCCTGACCTCTTCGATTTAAACGAAGAGGATGTCTACGTCGTAGAAGCCATCTTATGTGTAAAAGAGGGACGTGTGCTGCTGTCAGTAGGCGGGATGCGACGTCCTAAAGAATCCGACTTGTACCTTGTCAAGTGGGAAGACTACGATGAGTTGACGTGGGAGCCGCAGGAGAATATCCCACAGCGGCTAATTGAAATGTTCCGTGAGCGTGAACGCGCCAAGCGCGCTTGTCAGTATCAGATCAAGGTCGCCCACGAACGCAAAGAGGTGACTAACGTGACCACACAAGCGAAGGATATCATTTACCTGGTGCAATGGATCAACCAAGACGTGGCAGTGTGGGAGTCGCGCACCACGCTTCCCAGCAAGACGCAGGTATGGCTAGATAAAGTGCTTGGTGGTGCTTCTGTGAAGAAAAGGTCGTAAATGTGTCGAGTTGTTGTATAAGTAAGACGACCAAGTCACAGTTTAATACCTTTGCACTGGTGCATGTGGAGTCTGAAAATCAAGCTGTCTGAGACTTTCGTGCTGCGCTTTCCGGCACCCGCACGGCCGTTTAATCCTTGCTTGCTAAGTGCAGTCCTTTTACCTCACTTCATGACCTGTTGCCGCCTGCCTTGTCCGTCTATACGATACGGTCCAGTTCCGTCGCGTACGCCAGCGTCTCGCCAACTAATCTCAGCGACGGAATATCCGAAGCACTCAGCGATTTCTCTGGCGCCTTGAACCACACACGACCTTCCCGCACCACCCACTCGGTCCTTTCATCTTGAATGTACGCACCAAGCTCAGCAGCCGAGTCAAAAATGAGCATCTTTTGAGCGTCAGCCAACGTGAGACACTGATACGCGACTTCGGCACAGTCGGCAATGTTCTCACGCACTGCTTGGAGCAGTTGTGACAGGAAAAACGCAAAGTACGGATTCGGCACGTGCGTGCGCGCTTCCAGCACCTTGTTGTACGTGCCTTCCATCAAGTACTGCTCCAGCTTAATAGCGAACGCAACATTCGGGTCCTCCCGACTCGGTTCAGGCAACAGCTCAAGCTCGTTATGGAACTCTGCCATACGGTTCTCGACCAACAATTGCAGCAGTCGAGTCCCCAAGATCGGGTAATGCAGAGCTGACGGGTGTAGTCCACTGCTGTAGTAGACCTTGAGTTGGAGCACGCTGCGCTCATACGCAGTCATGTCTTCACACAAGATACTCAACAGCGTCGCGCTTTCCAGCACGTGACCTGCCATACCATATATACAACAGTATAGAGACAGCAGCTCAGTCTTAATAATATTTAGTTTACAAGGTTATCGAAGGAGCAAGACACAGCGATAGGAGCTGGACACGTACGCGCTAGCTCGAGTTCTTGCTGCGCTGTAGCAGAGCCAGTATCACTTAACGACAGTGCAGGTAGCGTCGTCAATGCAATCTACAAGAGAGAAAGAGAGAGAGAGAGAGAGAGAGAGGAAGGGGATGACATGGCAACGCGGTCGTTACGATGAGTCAGAGTTGTGCGTGCGTGTTGCTCGAATGTATTGTGAGCGAGATCAGTGCCCGTACCTTTAGCTGTGCAAGCAGCGCCGTCGCTTCATCGATGTGGCTGCTCTCGACAGCAACTCGCAGCACCTGCGCCTTCTCTTCGAGGGCCGACAGCATCGCGGACATGGGTACACACACACACGTGCTCGATCTTTTCGTCGTTAGCTGCTGAGAGGTGGAGTGGGGGTGCTGGAATGTTAGCCGAGTGTTGCGTGAAGGTAGGAGAGGAGGTCGTGACAGTGCGTGCGTGCGTGTCGTCTGGTTGTTTTCTGCACTGCTCGTCGTCTTGTCGTGTTTTTTACGGATTCGTTCGTTCGTTCGCTCGATCGTCATTGTTCATTTTTACGTACAACCCCCTGGTCGTGCATTTTTTCACCAATTGGTCGTACGACGTCACGACACCACGGACCAAAAATGGCTTCAGCACATGGCATCTTGCCGACGTTGCAGGTGACTGACCTGGAAACGGTCGATTTGAACGAGCAGTGCTTGACCAACTCGAACCGCAGCGTACCTCTGGAAAATGACGACGAGAGCGCGGAATTGCATTCCGTATCTACGAAGCAGCTCGATCGACCAGCACTGCACGACCACGCTCTGCTGTTCAATTCGTACGTACAGATAGAAATTGACCTGCATCTTTATGCGAAAATAGAGAAACGTGAACTGACTTGATGCTTAAGTACGCACTTAGTAACTTGTTTTCGTTTTCGTTTTGTTTGTGATTTATATCTCGTAGTGATTTCAAGACATTTGTCAATACTTGTATCGCCTTCATGGGTTCAGGCGTACTGGGCCTTCCGTACGCCTTCCGTCGGACAGGCATTTTGGTACGTAACTGTGAAAATAGTGTATTAACCATACTTTATCTTTCTGGTGCTTGATAAGTCCATTGACCATGTGATTATTGGCTTAGGTGGGCTTAGTGACGCTGATCGGTGTAGCGACAGTCAGTACGTACGCCATGATGCTCGTTGTGCAGTGCAAGTACAAACTCAAGCGTCAAGGTACAAATGTATCGACGTACGGTGAGATCGGATACTTTGCCATGGGTCATGCTGGCTCTGTGATAGTGAACACGGCACTAGTGTTCTCTCAGATGGGATTCTGCATCGCTTGTAGGTACCTCTTCTGTTAGAATGTTATGGCCATTGCTCACTTTTTCTCATGTGTATTTATTCCTGTGGCGGCAGACTTGATTTTCATAGCTTCCAATGCAAACCAATTTCTGGGCGTGACAAAGCAGCTGATCGTGTCAGTGTGTGTACCGCCACTGATTGGATTGTCACTGCTGAGACATATGAGGCAGCTGGCTTACGTTGCGGCTCTTGCAGACTGTATGTGCATTCTTGGACTCTTGGTGGTGCTCAACATCGATTTGTCGTACATGGAGTACGACCACGACGATATTGAGGTTGTTGGCGCGTTGTCTGCGTTGCCGTTTTTCTTTGGTGTGACCAGCTACTGCTTTGAAGGCGTGGGAATGGTGCTGCTGCTGGAAAACTCCATGCAAAACAAAAGGAACTTCACGCCTATCCTCATTAGCACGGTTGTGATCATTACGTCACTGTATGCCACTTTTGGTATCTGCGGGTACCTTGCTTTTGGCAATGAGACGAACGCTGTCATCACTCTTAACTTCGAAGACATGGGTGGCTTGGTCACACTTGTCAAGATCTTTCTGTGCTTGGGACTATTTTTCACGTACCCCGTGATGCTGTTCCCGGTCTTCGAGGTGCTGCAACCAATTATGACAGGCAGCGACACGCTAGCAGACCCAATGTCGAGCCAGAAGAAGGAGATTGTTCTTCGTGCAGGTATTGTGGTCTTCACTGCAGTCGTCGCTGCTGCGATTCCAGGTAAGGAAACTAGCTTAATGGTTAATGATCCTGTTCTGACGCGCTTTTGTCACGACAGATTTCGGTCGATTCATCTCGTTCGTTGGCTCGACGTGCTGCTCACTGCTCGCCTTCATCTTACCGGCACTTTTCCACATTCGTCTCTTTCAGGATGAGCCGTCGACGTGCGCGAATCGGTTGCGCAACCTTTTTCTGGGTGCGATGATGGCGTTGGGTTTTGCCATGCTTGGTGCAGGGGTCGCTGAAGCAATTCGCAGTGCACTCTAGGTAATATGTCTGCTTGATGGAACGAAGACTGGTTAATTTGCATGTGTCACGAGCACGTTCGCTACACTTACACACACACTCACGGCACGATGCACGCCGTCATGTCGCTAGCACTGAGCTCGTTGGATTGCGCAACACGTATAGTCGCGCTTTTCCTGTTCCGCATCGGATTGCGCTCGATGTTGGCGCAGTGGTTGGTCTTGGTATGTTGGAGAAGAAGAAACATGTCCGTATGCGCAACCGGTGATTTATTCGAGATAATGTCGACATGACATGTCATTCAAGGCATTTTTTTGCGCCCGTGATTATCCGGTTCCGTCTTGGTGGACTATCCAGCGTTGGATCAGTGATTACAATCGTGGGACTGCGACTTATCGTAGCAATTTCTGGTCGTCGAGCTTGCAGCAAGTCAGCTGTTAGCAACTTTGATCAGCCACTCACACTTGGATGGCCTTGTTTCCCGAACATCATTTGGAGAAATGGCATGGTTTGGATGCTCCGTATCAGCTTATTCGGCCAGCAGCGTTTTTGTCAAAGGTGAACCAGCATCGTGTTGTTGAGAATGCACGTGGCGGACATCCAGGCTAAAAGTGACAGGTCTGGCAGCAAAGATAATCGAGGTCTGCGTCGAGCGGACCCGATAAGATCTTGCAGCCAGCATTTCGTCACGCGAGGCGTCATGTGTAAAGAGAAGCGCAGAGTTGCAGTGCATGCACGAATATCAGATCTAGTCGACCACGAGGTTTGCTGCTTTTCAAGTTTTCGGTACTTCCACGTCTTACCACTTGCAGTGACGAACTGGTCGCCACTCAGTCTCTTCATGACTTAATCCCTCTCGATTGCCGCATCGCTTGCTGCTGTCGTCCTATGCTTGATCAACCAAAGTGCTGGCTGGTCTTCATGAGCTCTAGAATTGAAAACTATCGCGAAGCTCGATATCATCGGTGCTTTTTGCATTGTGACAAGTACTGAGAAGCTTTAGTTTCGCGAACATCTAGACTTTTTTAGAACAGATAACCTTTCACCGTTCAGAGAAAAAAAGAGTCATCTCGGATATAAATAAAGCCGGATATTTTTCAGTCTCTCCAATTATCCAACCGTCGACACCGCCGGAACGAGCGTCACCACTGTACCACTATTCCGGTACTCTTCTCGTGTCCACCACACGAAGCAGTCGTCATTGAGCCATGGTGCACTGGGGCACCGTCTTCGTGACGGTGACTGGAGCGAGTTTCCTGCTCGGACGCCGGGAACTGCCCAAGCTCGGGCGCTTTCTTGGACTCTACACTGGTCGCTCTATCGGCGCTATCCTCCGCGCCAAAAAGGAGTTCTTTGACGCCACGAAGGACAACGATCTCGTCAAGCTCCAGCGCGAGTTCCAGCGTGGCATTGAAGAGCTCAATGACATTCGCTCGGAGCTCACAAGTGTCGGGAGTATGCGGCGGCCCTTCCAGCCTCGTGGAAACGTATCCACTGGTGGTACTACGACTGGTCCTGGCTCGAGTGGTACAGTGAACCACTCGTCTGTGTCTAAAACTGTACTTGTGTCACCAACAGCTCCGTATGGAGGTCGCTCGAGTGTTGCACTAGCGTCCACTGCCGACTACGGGGTGCAAGATACAAATCGACGCCATGTCGAAGCAAGTTTGGCCATGGCAGAAGTCAAGTTGCAAGAACAGGGCAAGTTTGCCACAAGAGTGGAGAGTCAGGAGGGAGGCGCAGATTACGTCTCGGCGAGCATCATGGACAGTTTGTTGCTGGATTCTGAGAAGACTGAGGTGTAAGCTATGGTAGTACTGTCGTAGCAGGAAGGCTCGGCGGTCGTTGCTGCCCATACGTCCTTTTTTCGTGGGTATTGTAAGTGTTGAAGGAGTGGGATACCTGATGAATGCTGCTAAGTATACCTCAAGATCACCTCGTCTAACCCGCTGATGTGGTATCGCTGACATCAGTTGAAGAAACTGCTAAATACCATAGCTGCGTGATCAATAATGCACAAAACAAGACCCGGAGTCACTGCAAAGACGATCGGATCGGTTTGTCGTCTGATGAATAGCAACGCTCTGTCCACCGTTTGCTCCGATACCGATGAGAGAAAAGTGATATTCCTGTAACGGTGATTGTTGATCCATCGGCCTTGTCGACTCCTCGTGCGTCGTGTGTTGCATGCATGCAATGTGTCTTTGGCAATCTTCAAGGTACGCACAACCTGGTACTTGACGTATCCAGACGGTTTCGAAAGCTCGTTGCGTATTTGAGGCGTTCATATGCACGGATTGTACAAACTTTTTCGTAGCAAGGGTGGCACTTTTTCGTCATTTTTTCCTTCGCGTTGTGTGTACATCAAGGCTAAGACGAAAATGACCCGCTTTAGTACTGCATGGTTACATACCATCACGCCCGACTGACGCACCATCTCGGTAAGCACAAACCAGTGAAAAATCCGATGTACACTGTGCTGATGGATGAAGCAGTGATGTAATCGAAGATTCCGTGTGAAAAAGGTTGAGTGCGCGGTGTTCATCACATAGCTGCCCATGCATCCGTTTTGCCGACTCGTGTGATGGAAATTCGGCTTCATGTGCCGAAGGTGTAAAATTACCCAGCCCGCGTGATCTGAAGAATGGTCGACTCGAACTTTTATTCACATTGAAACGACACATTTTTTCTCACGTCATCCATACGGATGGTAGTCGATCCTTTGGGACTAAGTGAGAGCTCAAATGTTTAAAGTGGTTATTCATGTGTGTAAACAACCAGCGCATATCGTGTCTACTTCCAGGATATCTCAAACCGTACTTGCATTATGGAGACATCGGCAACTTTTGTCAACATCGAGACCTCGCAGATGTCAACGATTGACATCTGAAACGTCCATATCGATCTACTTCCCGTAGATCGAGCTATGTAACATGCTCGTATTCGGCGACCTGACATCACGGAGCGACTCCCGATGCGTGTTTGTAGGCATTTCTGCTAAATTAAGAGGGGCGTAAAAATGTAAGCAACACACGGTGCAGTCAACAAGAATTTGTTGCGACAAAGATAAAACGACAATTTGGGGATGTACGAAACAAAACAAACTCTATCAACACGGTCTTTGATATGTTGAGGTAGAAGCTGTGACGCCATAAATGGGTGGTAGGAATTGACAAGCCACAATAGGAATTGACAAGCCGCAATTCTTGGTTAATTCGACATTTACGATGACCGTGGCCACCATCTAGAAGTTTTTAATCCATTCGCACTTTGCTCCTCCTTGTGAGACTCATTCACACCCTTCACTGAATTTGCTTCGAATTGATGTTCGGGTTGCGATTGTTTTTGACACCACCTGGGACCAGGAAGTACGTGATAGTGTATAGACGAGCACGTCTGGACTTCTGGATTCATCCAAGTCGACAGCGATTCGACTACACGGGTATGACCAGCCTGAACAGCAGCCAAGCGTGCCTCAAAAAGACAGCCACGAATCGAGAAGCGAACCAGGGCATCAACACACTCGTAGTTACCACGTCCAGCAACGCGCTCGAGTGCAAACCCATGTGGACCCTCGTGTCTGTATTCACCCAGAAAACGAACGATATTGGAATGCCCATTGATTGCTGCCTTCGTCATAGCATCTTTGGTACAACCCTCCACGCGATTTTCGTGCAAGTATTTCACAATTTCGAGATAACCACCACTTGCAGCTGCGTCCATTGCCGCGGTCGTGCACAACGCATTTCCCTGTTCATTCAGGACCCGCACAATGTTTAGGTAACCGTTTTGGCAGGCAATGTCAATAGCTTTCGAAGTGCAGCCCTCTGCGCGGTTTATCACAAGAAATTTGACAACATCAAGATGACCACGCCATGCCGCGCCATCGACTGCTTTTGTCGTACATCCTTCTTTCCGATTATTATGCAAGAATATGATGATCGGCAAGTTTCCAACAAGTGCAGCACCATCCATTGCATCCGTTGTGCAGCCATCTTTGCGTTGTGTGTGTAGATATCTGACTACCTCCAAGTGTCCACTTTGGGCAGCTCCATCCATGGCTTTTGTCGTGCAGCCTTCGCTGCGATTTTCATGTAAAAACTGCATAATGCTCAGAAATCCTCCAGCTGCAGCTCCATCCATCGCAGCAGTCGAGCAACCTTCACTACGGTGACCGTGTAGGAACTGCACAACATCTAGATGTCCATTTCGAGCAGCTCCATTCATAGCAGCAACTGTACAGCCTTCAGTTCGTCGAGTGTGCAAAAATCGCACAACTTCCAAGTACCCATTCCGAGCGGCGCTATCCATGGCCTTGACAGTGCACCCTACTGCCCTCTGATCATGTAAATACTGCACAACCGCCAAATGCCCGTTCGCGGCTGCTCCGTCCATTGCATCTGACGTGCATCTCACTACTTCCATCTCTCCATCCTCTCTGTCCAGCAAAACTCTCAACACATCCATCTTTCCCATGTTAGCCATCAAGTCCACAAGTCTTGGATCTTCCAAGGCCTTTGTGGCCAGCCACCTCATTTTCAGGTACATCAATACGGGCGCACAAGCTCGACTCAGATCGTCCGTCTTTACTTGTGCCAATGCTGACACCGAGTAGTTGTCCGCCACCCACTGGATAATGTCCAATTTCGACGTAGAGTTGAGCACGTCCGAGTACCTGACAGCCCATCCCATGAGCTTAGAACCATCTATAAACGTCTCTCTTCTTCTACTAGTAGTGTCCGCTTGCAACATGCCTGTGTCAGCCAAGTACTTTAAGATCTCTAGACGTCCGAATTCAACAGCACAACGGATCGTCCGATCATCAAACACAAGCTCTCGAGTCGACTGAAACCTCCTTGAGGTCGATAAGGTCTTCAAATGCATAAGCGTTGCCAAATCGCCGCGCTGAATCGCAGCGCGTGGTAATGACCCCCTGGCAGACACCCATGGAACGTTCTGAGAAGTCCATTGCGAGTCAATCACGAGTGACACGACCGAGCCCGGGACGCCGTCGATAAAGTCCATTATATAGCGGAAGAGGGATCGGTTGGTCAGAACTCGTGTCGAAGCTGCTGGATGACTGCAGGTTGGCGGTGGATCAAGCAAAGGCGACGTCATGCTGGACTCGTTCTTGTTATTTAAGCTGGATGTGTACATGGTGAATCGTTACATAACAATTTATAAGAAATTGTTAATAGAATATAACTATAAGAGTTATATTCTCAGAATATTGTCATAAGGACAAATATTCTGTAGCACTTACGAGTAGTTCCTAATTGGTTGATATAGGCCATTATATCAACCAACGAAGACACGCCACGACAGACGCACGCAATGAGTGGTGAGCAGATACCATTTGTAAATAGACATAGTTAGATGAAGATAAATAGTGATTTATTGCAGACATTAACTATTATAAATACAGTTCTACTTTTTACTTTAACCAAGTACTCGCTTCTTCTTACCGTCTTCCTCTGCACGTACGAGTGTACGTGAAGTCACGAGGCACCGCCTTATTCTGTCATCAGAATAAGTAGCTTGTACTGTCATCAGTACAAGCTTCAGGGTGCCCCGTTATACCTGGTAGCACTTCGTAGTCCGTCCAAGGACCACGTTCACATCCAACATGAATATGTTGGATGATGAAGATGACCAAAGCTTTCACGCTACGCGTGACGGCTACTCCCATTTGAGCGATGTCGAATGGGATGCGGTTGAACGTATGGGTTCGACCATGGGCATCCATGCTGTTAGCGTCATGCTGGAGGCTCTCGATAGAGACGCCCAACATGCTACTATCGCCAAGTTCATTCAAAATGAACTTGACGCTGAACGCGAGAAAGTAGCCTTGCTTCACCAACAAGGTTCTCAACAAGCAGAGTTGTTGAGAGAACAAGGTGCTCAACAGTTTGAACTGTTGAGACAGCAGCAGGCTGCTGCTGGTGGGTCGATGCACTCGCGTCGACCCGAGACCTTGAAAATTGACATCTCCAAGTATAGGGGAGTCGAAGAAGACTCCCTCTTGAGATGGTTCGTCGAATTGGATGACGCCATAAGGGCGCGTCGCATCGACGATGGGGAAATGCAAGTTGCATTTGCCCAGTCAAATCTGGCAGGACGTGCCAAGACTTGGGCACTGGGGCTCAAGTTGCACGACCCATATGCGTTTGGGTCGTTGGAAGTCTTCAAGTCGCGGCTCAGACAAACGTTTGAACCGCCTAGAGCTGAGTTCAGAGCTCGAACCGAACTCTTGAAGCTCAAACAAGGTAAGCGTGATGTGCACGCTTACGCGCAACATATACGACATCTCACGAGTTGTATAAGTTCCAATCCGGTTGATGAACACACGTTGGTTTCGGTGTTCATGCAGGGTCTTGCGGATGGTCCCGTCAAGACTCACCTGTTCCGGCTTGAACTAGATTCACTAGAACAAGCCATTTCCATTGCGGAACAGGAAGACTTCAGTCTGAGACAGGCTCGCGCCAGCTCGACATCATATCGTCAACCGAGACGATATGACAACGGAGGTCCAGAGCCGATGGAACTCTGCTATGTAGAGAGCGAGAAGGCTCGCTCTACAGGCTACAAGAAGTTGCAGAGATGCAACAGATGTCAGAAGACAGGACATTACGCTTATGAGTGTAGTGCCCCTCGTCCAGTGTCTCGCGACACTGGGCGTAGTGACCGTCCACCCATGAGAAAGGGGCAGGGACGCGGGTCCGCTGTTGGTGCAAAGACGCAACAACGGGATGGACCGTCAAAAAACGGTCAGGATCAGTAGGTGCGGAGCACCCTACTGGTCCAGCAACGTCAAGAGAATTTGTAGGCCTCTTGATGAAGGTTGCTCCCAACACGCAAACGTTGTGCGTTGCTGCTCTAGGTAATGAGGACTCACTCATTACCTTGAAACTCGAAGTGACAAATAAGTTGTCCCTTCGAGCTCTAGTCGATTGTGGTGCGTCCAAAAATTTTGTGCGACGCCAATCGCTAGAAGATGGTCACTTCAATTACAGTGAATGTGACACACCTCTTACGAGGATGACGGTACGTCTCGCGACAGGCACATACGTAACCGTCATGAAGCGCATAGTGAAGATCCACTGTACGCTAGAAGATACCCAATATGACGATACCTTTATCGTATTGGATTTGGATGACAAATTTGATGTCATCCTTGGAATACCGTGGCTCAGAAGGTACGAACCACGGGTTAACTGGCAACATCGAACAGTAACGATGCCTGCCGCTTGTTCATCAGATGGCCATCTGATGAACGTTTTGGAGCGTCCACAAGCGTGTGGATGTACTACGAGTGAGTGCGATGGCCTCACTTGTGGTACGGTCGTTAGTACGACTGCACAAAACCTTAGTGTAACAAACGGTTACACTTCGGAGCAAAGTTCCGGCGGCTGTGAGGAAACACAGGCAGCGCCGAAGGTCCACCACTCGAATAAGTCGAGTGGACCGGGACAAAGATGTATCCCTAGCGGGGAACATCTAGAAGAGAAACAATCGATCGCTCAGGTTAAGCGAAACGATAATCCTAGATCGACTGGAGAGTCTTTCGTAGAGGATCTCGCTGTGGTTGCGCAACCACAGCTAGAGGAAGTAAAGGGAATAAGTACCGATAATGCAAATACGGCGGAAATAAGTTCCCCGAAACCCGCGGGAATAAGTCCCCGGGAAGCCGAAGGAATAAGTCCTTCGAAGCCTGTGGGAATAAGTCCCCAGGAAATGACAGAGACATTAGATGTCATAGTCAATAACGGATCAAGTGTAGGCGCTTATACACTTGATCTGATTGCACCTCCGAAGTTGACTTCGGAGATCACTCAGTTGCCAACTCTCGAACATAAAAGGTTCTTGCGTGATCTGCGTAGTGGCAAAGTCAAGCAGATCTGCGTACTCGTCGCTGACGACGAGTGTGTAACCGAAATAAGGTCAGCAACAATGTTTACTGAGAACGAGAGAGTTCTCAGTAGTTCATCGATGGACGAGAGTGTCCTAGATGAGAAGACACGAATTGAGCGATATGACTCCCAATCGTGGGAATCGCTCAAGACAAATCCTCTCTATGAAGATTTGGTTGAATTCAAGGATGTATTCCCTGAAACTGTTCCGTGCGAATTACCGAAGGATAAAGGTATTCGACACGAGGTCGAGCTTAAACCAGGCTCGAAGTACTGTGTCATGAAGCAGTGGCCACTGCCTCGTGAACAAGTACTTGCGATCGACAAGTTCTTTGCCGATCGTTTAGCTGCGGGCCATGTGAGGGAATCAACTTCCCCACATAGCTCTCCGACCTTCTGTGTGCGAAAAGAAACAGGAGGGTGGCGGATAGTGCATGCATTTAATAAGTTGAATGCTGCAACGGTACCGGCACAGACGCCGATACCGAGGAAGGACGTAATCATTGATAATATGTCAAAGAGTACCATCTTTTCGTCCATGGATTTGATGGATGGCTTCTATCAAATCCTTATGCGAGAACGGGATATACCCTATACCGCAGTTAGCACGCCTAGCGGCATGCTCTGGGAATGGCTAGTAATGCCACAAGGGCTCAGTAATGCCCCTGCCACGTTCAACAGATGTGTATCACATCTGTTGAGACCAGTACGAGAATTCGCGCCGAGTTATTTCGATGACGTATTCATCCATAGTCGAGCTATGGATGGAAAGTCGGACGTTGAGGTTCACAAGTACCACGTCCGACAAGTTCTTACAATCATGCGAAAGCATCAATTGTATGCAAACCTCAAGAAGTGTATATTTGCAGCAAGCGAAATACCACTTCTTGGGTGCATCGTTGGTAAGAACGGTGTACGTCCTGATCCCGAAAAGATCAAGGCGATCACCGACTGGCCTGTGCCAGTCGATGTCAAAGGTCTTCGAAAATTCCTTGGGCTAGCGGCGTATTTGCACAAGTATTCACGCAATTACGCCGAGATGACTGTACACCTCTCTCTTTGTTGAAAAAGAACGAGAGGTGGTCATGGAACGCTGAATGTCAGCGCTCCTTTGAGGGTATCAAGAAGAGCTTGATACAATCCCCAGTCCTAGCAATTGCCGATCAGGACAGGCCATTTCATGTGGTCTGTGATGCCAGCGATTTCGCAATCGGCTGTGCATTAATGCAGTACGACCTTGAAGGCGTTGAACGCGTCGTCTGCTATCAGTCGCGTCAGCTGCAACCAGCTGAGCGGAACTATCCAGTGCATGACAAGGAACTCCTTGCCATGAAGTACGCACTCGCGAAGTTCAGAGTCTATCTATTAGGAGATAGACCCTTCGTTGTTTACACTGACCCTGCGTCATTACGCACGGCAGTGAACAGCCCGCACCTTTCACAACGAATGGCGCGGTGGTTGTCATTCTTTGCGGAATACAACTTTACGGTTGAGTACAAACCAGGACGACTTAATGTCGTCGCTGATGCACTCTCACGTCGTCCCGACTTTGAAACAGTCGCGAAACCCAACAGTGAGACAGTCACTGTTGCGGTTATGACGTCCTCAGTCCCATCTACAACGTTGTATGATGATGTGAGGCGGGCATACGCCCAAGATGGTGAGATAGTGAAGTTGTTGACACATCTCTCCCAACCATCTCGAGAATCGTTGAAACGATTATCGCCTGCGTATCGATCTGCATCAGATCGATACACTACTCGCAACGGGTTACTGTATTATACAGCCGTTTCTGGTGACACACCACGTGTTGTCATTCCAGATGATACTGATCTGCGTTTGCGGATCATGTTCGAGTATCACGATGCTCCTATAGGAGGACATCGTGGCCGGGAGAAGACATATCTCACGGTAAGTCGAGACTTTTACTGGCCCCGCCAGTATCAGTTTGTGCGCAAGTACATTCGCGCATGCCAAGTCTGTCAACGAGTGAAGTCAAGTCCTTCACTGCGTGCACCTTTACAGCCTCTACCGGTTCCGGCTGAGTGCTGGGAATCCATCTCACACTGAAGCTAACGAGTCATCAGATGAGTTCATACTGGCTCGTGAAACGGTAGTCCGTTTTGTGCAAGATTCCATCGCCGAAGCGGTGCATAAGCAAAAGCAAAACGCTGACAAGAATGGAAGGGAAAACACTCTTTTATTCAATAAGGGTGACTTACCACCAGTACGCTGCTTCTTCCGATGAAGAACGCCCTTGCGCTCAAGCATCTCGCAGAGAGCCTTGTGCTCCCGATGGTGGGCATCAACAAGGGTCTGAAGAGCAGCTATCTCATCCCGAGACCGATCAACAATCCCACGAGCTACCCTTAGCTCGTCACGAAGAGATGTCAGAGATCTCTCGTTCTCAAGCTGAGCAAAGGCAAACTCAGCTCGATGCTTCGAGGCAGTGTCCGCCATTTGGAGACGCCTATTCCGCTCATGTTCGAGATCGTCGCGTAACCCTTGCGTTACGCGATCAAAGAAGCTCTCGGGAACACACCGATCCACATGATCGTGTGGAGAGCGTCTTTCCTCCTCCTCCACCTCCATTAGAGGACTCTCGCGGTGGCCAGCGCTATCTAGTTGAGCAGCTGTTGAACCACCGCGACTTGAACGGACGTCGGACGAGTTATCTCGTCCGATGGCGCGGCTATCCCCCGTCCTGGGATACTTGGGAGCCCCGCTCCCAACTGATGATCGACGTACTGGGTCTGGTTGAGCAGTACGACGCGGCACATCCTGTGCCACAGAAGGACCGCCGGAGAAAGTCTTCCCGGCACGGTCGTAAAGGGATTTCAGGTTGTCAATCCCTTCGTACATCTCAGTAGAGATACGTACGCGCCACCACGGGCTAGTAAGGAGGTAAGCCTCCTTAGGTGCTCGTGCAGAGTTGTTCACACAACATGGGCACGAGTCCCCCCAAGAGAGGCAGGGAAATCCTTTCTCCCTTGACAGACGATGCAGCTTATAGCGTGCACCTGTCGGGGTTCGCTTTTCAAACTTATCACGAGCTTTGATAAGTTTGTCGTTCCAAGCGTCACGACCTACATCCTCGAGGTTATGGATGTAGGCGTTCCACGCTTGAAGCAGTGAGGGACCATCACGCTTGTGATTCCCACTGTACCATCGATGTTTGAAGAAAGCATCGATGGAGAATTCATGTTCAGCGCGATAGTCTTTCGCGCTGGGGTCAAGGTGATGGATCCTTGACGAATCGAACAACCGTGTTCGATAACGATCACTCGTCGTCGCCGACAAGTGATCCATGACGGATTTAGGAGGCATCCATGCCTTCTTTTCAGGAGTGAGACGCAACACATTGCGGTCCCGCTCTTCCTGCGACGTGCCGACAGAAGTACTGGTACCTCGCTGTGAAGTGGTGTCAATAGGAGAACCGACACCACTGTAAGCGCCCGAGTCTCGCGACCTCGAGCGCCTTCGCTTCGGCGATGGTTCATCTGATTCATCAGATGAACCAAAGATGCTACGACGCATAGCATCATCCATGCCACGCTTGGCAGGCGGCTTGGATTAAATCGCCGTCGATACGGATCCGTCTTCCGTATCAGGAGAGTATGAGACACCGAGCTCATACTCTGTGAAGACATGAGTGTCTTCATGACTAGCGCCTGCATCACCAAGTGACACAGGCTGGGTCGCTTCAGCAACCGATGAGACATCAGTTGCTGTTGTTTCTGCTTCGGCGTCCGCACAGAGACGTGCGGACGCGCTCTCGGCGGCCTTGCTCGCGCATCGCATGGGCTTGTTAACCATGCGATGAGATGTTGGAAAGTGGACGCGGACCAACAAGTGCAAACCCTGTCCCAAATGATTTGGGACGAGTATCCATTTAGTCAATCAGTCACTAAAGTGACTGATGGTTAAGGGGGGGTGATGTAACGGGGTGAATCGTTACATAACAATTTATAAGAAATTGTTAATAGAATATAACTATAAGAGTTATATTCTCAGAATATTGTCATAAGGACAAATATTCTGTAGCACTTACGAGTAGTTCCTAATTGGTTGATATAGGCCATTATATCAACCAACGAAGACACGCCACGACAGACGCACGCAATGAGTGGTGAGCAGATAACTGATTTACACATTTGTATTTAGACATAGTTAGATGAAGATAAATAGTGATTTATTAACAGACATTAACTATTATAAATACAGTTCTACTTTTTACTTTAACCAAGTACTCGCTTCTTCTTACCGTCTTCCTCTGCACGTACGAGTGTACGTGAAGTCACGAGGCACCGCCTTATTCTGTCATCAGAATAAGTAGCTTGTACTGTCATCAGTACAAGCTTCAGGGTGCCCCGTTACAGGATGAATGGTGCGTGCCGCTGTGGGACGCGCACGGAACGGACAAAGTTCGATCCGGGAACTACTGATCGAATGCACACGAAACAGTGACACTGTCATTGCATTCACAACATTACAAGGGGGGTCGGTTTGAGTCATCTATGATGAAGTTTAAATGCTCGGGCAGCTTGCCAGCTGGAAGGTCTTTGTGAGTTGCGTAATCGCTTCACCCTGCCGAGCATGCTTGAGAATAAGTGTACTTGAAACGTGTCACGTCGTCATGTAGAGACTACGCCATTATGTTGGAATGTTGGAAATGGGCGCAAGGGTACGTAACGGCGATCGGAGTGTTCGGCCGGTGACTTGGGGTTTATTTAGAAACAAGATGTCACAAACTCGCTGTGCGCAAAAGGTGGACGCAGAGTGACAAGCAGGATAATGATTCGAGTAGAGCCAGAATGCGTGTGAGATGGATGACTGGAGCAGAGGGCTTTGGCGAGCATGCCAGAAAAGAGAGAACTAGTAAGGTAACACAACAGAATTTTATTGTTCACCTAACGCTCCCTTCTCGCAACACGCATCTTGACCACAGGTTATGTGCCCAATGGCCGCAACCACCGAACCGACTACGAAAACACCAGGGGGTGTCCCGCGAGCCACACCTGGGCGCGGCTCGCCAGCGCGTGCGCCTACTGCACCCGCAGTCGTCAACGATGGAACCGCTCGCTAGAGCAGGGAGCGAGACAATAAGATCCTCTCCGCGCTCACCGCACTCACCGATCGACTGGCGAGCCTCGCGTCGTCGCAGAGAGTGCGAGACGAGGAGGAGCGCATTCTCGGGGCCGTGGAGAGCGGACTGGTCGCCTCGAAACTCGGCACCAACATGCGCGGACGAACGATGACGATCGACGCGATCGAAGACGCGGAGGAGAAGGCACCGGTGCCGCGTGGGTACCAGCGCGCGACTGATCTTGGCGCGTCGCGATTCGCATCGCTCGAGCCACCTCGCGCGCGCGCATCACCGCAGCTGCAGCAGCGCGCACCAGCGTCTGCGCCACCTCCGCAGGAGTATGCAGCGCTACCGCAGCCGCAACAAGTCGCTCCGCCACAAGCTTATGTGCGACCGGACCTCAACGGCTACGGGATGCCGTCGGCAAGCCAGCAGAAGTTGAACATACGCAAGTTCGATGATACAGAGCTGTACCGCGGACTTAGGAGCGAATTTTTTGACTGGAAGAGTACGTTTCTGCGCGCGGTAACTCTCGCGGAAGCGTCGTGTGGTTTCAAATGGACCGAAGACGTCAAGGTCAAACTGCTTGGCCCACTTTCTCGCCGGCACGGCTGAGAGGTACTATCACAAGCAGGTCGACACCTGGTGGACGCAGTCACCCACACTGGAGTACATCATGGAGCAGCTCCTGCGCACGTTCAAGACGTCAATCACTGCAAGCCAGGCGATGAAGTTAATCATGGCGAAGAAGGACGCACGACGCACCTGGGCCGAGCACTTCCTGTATATGGTCGCCGTCAGCGAGGCGCGTGGTGGTGCCGACTCGCCTGTTCTTGATAACATCGTCCAACACGCTACGCCGGAGCTGATGAACGAGATGCGCTCCAAGTATGAACCCACGCGACTCGACTACCTGCGCCATGCCGAGGAGCTGGCGCACTTCGCGCAGTCCATTGAGCACGGCAGCAGCGCGGTGGGTCGTGAGGTCGTCGCCGCGCACGTGGAAGGCAAACCCAAGAGCGCGATCACGTAATACCGATGTGGGCGACCAGGCCACATCGCGGCCGACTGTCGCGCGCGAGTCGTGCACGACGACGAGACACCCGCGGAGGGTGGAGGCGATAGCATGATCCTTGCACTGACCGAGAAGCGCAGGGCGACCACGAAGAAGCGCAGCAGGAGGAAGAAGGGCTCGCGCGGCAAGGACGCCGCAGCGACCAATGCAAGCGATGAAGCGCGAGCCATAGACGACTCATGCGGCTTCGTGCTTACGACGAGCGACGGAGTAAGAGCCACGGACGGCACGCGCGGCCTTTTACTTGCGGCGACCGATGCCACGGGCGTCGACCGAGGAGACTGGATCCTCGATAGCGGCACGAGCCGGCATCTTGTCAATGACGAGTCGCTGCTGCTCAAGTCGACGGCTTGCATCCACGAGATTGCAATGGCAGACGGCGAGTCGCTTCACCTGACGCGTGCCGGCAGCGTGCGCCTCGAGGTATTCGCGCGCGGCGCTGAGGTGTTAGAGACGCTCACGGATGTGTACTTGGCGCCGCGACTGGCAAAGAACATTGTGTCGTACGGCAAGCTCGCGAACAAAGGATTTGCCCTAGTGCACTCCGGCGACAGGCTCTCGCTCGCTCGGTGCAGCGATGGTGCGGTCGCTTTCAGTTTCACAATCGACAGCAACGTGCTGTAAGTCGTGACGAAGGCATGCGCGACAAGGAAGGTGCAGGCGGCGACGCGATCATGGCGGCGCTCGAAGCGCATGCCACGGAAACCAACGACGAGCCGCACAAATCCTCGCTGTTGCACTGGCACCAGCGACTCGGCCGCCTTGCGTTCGACACGATCAAACGCATGGCGTGCCATCCGCATCAGGGATACGGCTCAGCAACAATAAACGTATGGCGTGCGTGTCGTGCCTCGAGGGCAAGGATACGCGCAACGTGCAGTCCCAACAAGACAGCGGCAAACACTCGCCCATCGATCGCATCGGCGGCGTCATCTGCTCGGACCTGAAGGGTCCAATGACGCCGCGGGACCGACTCGGCAATCGTTACCTTTTGAATTTCGCTGATCGCAAGAGCAACTACTGCCGAGTCTTCCTCGCGCGCACGAAGGACGCTTGGGCGAAGCAGTTCAAGGCGTTCCTCGTTCACTTCGAGAAGCTTTTTGGGTTCGAGGTCCACGTGCTCCGCACGGACGGCGGCAGAGAAATACGCCAACGTAAACCTGTTCTGTGAGCGCACGGGCATCGCGTGCCAAGTTTCGGAGGCGCGCAATCAGGCCTCAAACGGCAAGGCGGAACGAATTCACCGCACAGTGCTGAACCTCGCGCGCAGCGTGATGTTTGCCTGCGCGCTGCCCCTGATGTTCTGGGGAGACGCGGTGCTATACGCCGTTCACATCCTCAACCGGACCCCACGCGAGCAAACGCAAAGAGAGCGTCACCACTTGAGGTGCTGACGGGCAAGACGCCGTATCTGCGTGTAATTGTCGTTTTTGGCTCCCTGTGCAGCGTGTATAGGGACCCGCGCAAGAACTCGCTGCTGCAGCGCTCGGGGCGCGCCATCATTGTCGGCCTCAGCGAGGAACCAAGGGCTGCAAGGTGCTGCTACCGCGTGACAACAAAGTGGTCGTCACGCAGCACATTAAGAATATCAAGACATTGACGGAGGCGCAAAACGTGCAACTCCAGCGCGCGATGGATGTCGGCGATCGAGCCGGAGTCCAGGAGGAGACGGACGCGCCAGCAGCAGCAGTGGCGAACGATGGGTGCGCAGAGGGCAACAGGGCGACGCGTAAAAGCAGAAAGCGATGGGCGCGAGCGGCGCATGGAACACGCGGGGCGTCGAAACGCGCAGAAGCGGCTGCTCGTCAGGATGAGACATCCGCAAGCGGAGAAGTCGTAAATGCTGCTTTCGAGCACGATCCACTTAACTACTGACAGGCGATGCGCAGCGGCAAGCGCGAAGGGTGGGAGAAGGCGATGCAAGCAAGTATCTCCGCGCTCGAGGCCAACGAAGTCTGGACTATCACAAGGCGAACGGCAGGACAGCATGCGCTGCATACCAAATGGGTCTACAAGACCAAGACATATGCGCAGGGCGACCTCGAGAGGCAGAAGGCGCGACTGGTGGCGTGTGGCAACGAACAGGTGATTGGCGTCGACTACACGCTCACCTTCGCTGCCGTGATGGACCTATCGACGGTCGAAGTGATCCTGGCCCTTGCGGCTACGTGGATGGTGCCTGCCACGCACGGTGACATCCCTAACGCCTACGTTGAAGCGGAAAAGGAGCCGCACCTTCACATCTATCTACAGATGCCGCGCAACATGCCAGTCTCGAAGGAGACGCTACGAGCGCAAGGCGTTTCGAACGCGAGCGAGCTGGTGCTGGAGCTGCGGAAGAGCCTCTACGGGCTCAAGCAGGCAGGCCGGCTGTGGAGCCAGCTGCTGCATTCCAAGCTCTCTACTGCCGGTTTCACGCGGTGTGAGAGAGGCATGTGTTTCTACTGAAAGCGCGACGACGACGACCTCGTCGTGGTCGGCGTGTATGTTGACGATCTTCTAGCTACAGGTACGAGCGCGGCGGCGGTAGAGCCGTTCTTTGCAAGCCTCGCGTCGTTGTCGAACAATGACCTGGGGCGTGTCAGCAAGTTCCTGGGCACGCGCGCGACGCACAACGGTCAGAATGGGTACACGCTCGATCAGGAAAGGGCCATCAGAGACAACCTTCGCGACAACGGACTCGCTGACGCCAACTCGACGTGGACGCCGATCGACGACAGCTGCTACGAGCTGTAGGAGGGCGACGCGGAGCTTCTCGGGACGCCAAGCGCACAATAGGACCGACTGTGCGCCAGTTCTAGTCGCTGGTAGGCTCGCTGCGCTGGAAGGTGCGTTGCACGCGCCCTGACATATCGTTTGCGGTGCACAAGGTCACGAGACGAGCACACGTGCCTCGACTAGCAGACTGGCAGTTGGCTAAACGAATAGCGCGATACCTCATGGGTACGGCGGAGCTCAAGGTCACGATGATTACAGAAGACAATCTAGGTGCGACGATGCGACTAGAAGCATTCAGCGACGCCGACTTTGCCGCCGACAAGACGGATCGGAAGTCAATGACGGGCGGCATCGTGATGCTGAACGGGATGGCCGTCAGATGGGGTGCGCGGAAGCAGGGAGGCGTCCTTCTGTCGACGATGGAGGCGGAATTTGTTGCGGCGAGTGAGGTGGCGCGCGAGCTGCTCGGCCTGCGTAAGATGTTGTGCGAAGTGGGCGTAGAGCCCGCGCTTCCGATGCAGTTGCGGGTGGACAACCAAGCGGCGATCGCGCAGATCGCGGGAGAGGCATCGTCGCTAACGGCAAAACATGTGGATGTGCGACTTAAGTTCCTTTGCGACTACTCGCGTCGCGGTATCATCACGGCGAGCTATGTCAGGTCGGAGCAGATGCTCGCAGACCTCCTTACGAAGGCGTTGGACGCGACGAAGCTCTCGACACTGCGCGCACTCGTGCGCATTGGTTAAGAAAAGTTCAAGGACGATCAAGGGTGATCAAGGAGCTCAAGGATGGAGGAGCACAAGGACAAGGACATATGCTAGCTCAAGAAATGGAACTGGGTGTGAGGGAAGCCACGACCGAGGAGGAGTGTTGAAAAGTTGGAACTGGGTGCAAGGGTACGTAACGGCAATCGGAGTGTTCGGCCGGTGACTTGGAGTTTATTTAGAAACATGATGTCACAAATTCGCTGAGCGCAAAAGGTGGACGCAGAGTGGCAAGCAGGATAATGATTCGAGTAGAGCCAGAATGCGTGTGAGATAGATGACTGGAGCAGAGGGCTTTGGCGAGCATGGCAGAAAAGAGAGAACTAGTAAGGTAACACAACAGAATTTTATTGTTCACCTAACGCTTCCTTCTCGCAACACGCATCTTGCCACACAATACATTTTGCAAAATTATTGTTTCCTGCTTTGCCTTGTGCAAAATCAAATACAGTTCTACCCGTCCATTCAGCAAGACTATATCGACATCAAGCTCTGTCGCACGGTGTATTGCATAGGATTACATCGCCACTTTGCACCTATTCTGGTATGCTACGAAAAGGTGAATTCTATAAGGAATTGACAGCAGCATTGGCTCAGCTTTTCATGACACAACAGCACTAATCGGATCGATAGAAGTTGTCGGGTGCTTATGTCGTGATCGACGTGGACGAGCAGAAGAGAAGAACTTCTATTAATATGCTGACATAGAGATTAATACATCTGCCGTCGGCGTTTAACTCTGTAGACGTAGGCGTTTACCAATGTCTATCTTCTCGACATGTACAAAACCCGTTTCGGTCTCATCGAAGTATGATAAGCATAAGAGCATCACGGAGGTCGACGACATACACTTTTACACTTCTTCCAGGCAACTTATTGACGGGTGGCATTATTTCTTACAATTACCTGATCTGTTAGCGCTAGGATTAAGGCTCAACCAAAAGTTGACTGCAATTTCCCTCTTTCGACCTTCAAAAAGGGTCTGAATGTCCAGAGTTATCTGACCTAGAAAGTGGCGTTGTTTTTGTCACATGTCGAGCAACATCAGGTCGATAGCTCCACTTACGTTGCTCCAAGTGCAACTCAAAGACCGAAATATCACAATAACAGCACACTCGTAGCAGTCATTCAACATCTCCGCAGCAGTCATTGAACATCTATAAAAAAACTCGCAGCTTTTGACTGTCTTAGCATGGATGCCAGTTTAATGGCCAACGAAGTGGCGCTCGACAGCGACTCACAGCTTCTCAAGAGCAGAGATGAAGAATCAGAAGGAGGTGGTCTACTTTCCTTTACTTCTGAAGTGCAGGGCGGACCGGAGCAGTTTAATTTCCATCAGTACGACAATAATACAATAAATTGCATCGAAATAGGTACCTCGTGCTCCAGTGCCTCACAATATGATGATGCTATGTTTTTATTACTTGATTGCTGCTACTTCAGTTCGTTTGGGTTCATGACTGGACGAAGACTTCAACGACGGTACCGAGGAGTGTACCGAAAGTACTCCTTCGTGACGCAACTGGTCACGTGGATCGTTATTCTTTACATTGTTGTAGTACTCGCAGCTCTGGCAGCCGATCAAACAAGTACGTAGCAGTTCATGCACAGCTCATAGTGTTTGGTGTTGAAGTACTACTAAGTGGACTGTACGTATAGTTGACGGTGATGCCATTGATGTGATATTACCATTGTAGCCGATAGCAGGAACCAGACGTCGCTTTCGGATAGCGTTTTTTATTCTGTATTGATTGCAATCGGCTTGTACTTTCTCGTCCAACTTGCGCTAATTGTGCGGTGGATCATTTACTGGATCATTCTAGCTGAACTGCTGACCTATGCAATCACCGACAACTTCTACTTGTTGTTCTGGATCAATGAGGATCCTGTGACGGACACGGATCGACAAGTGCGTCAAGTTATGACCATTGTTCTTATTGTAGTCGAGGTTGTCACGGTACTCGCGTATGGCTTCACGCATTATGCATATCCATGGATTGTGCTTCGTCAGAAGTTCGATCTCCAGGACTGGTGGAACGTTCAGTCCGGCGTCGAGGCAAACACGTTGACATACCGCTCTAAGGCACGCTTTTACACCCGGGAGCGTCACGTGATAAAGTATTGTGGAGGGCTCAATGCACAGGGTCAGCCGCACGGATATGGAATGTGGACCGACACGGGATATCACGGCGAGAAATTGACTGGGCAATGGGAGAATGGTGTCCCTATTGGCCCTTTCCGTAGTTTCGAGCACGGAAGTGGCTACTCATTTGTAAACATTCGGATCGGTTTCTGCCACAACCGAGCTGAGAAGAGACCTACAGATATTTTCTTTATCCCGAAGCACTCGGAGAGCGGTCTGAATTGGGGTGTGGCAAGCGTCGAGTGCTCTGTGTCGGGTGGATTCTTCAAATACTTGCCCACAGTGACGCACTTGACGCAATCATATGTGGACGACGCTCCGCAGAGTGCGGCAGACTGTCTTCGTGTACTACGAACCCCGACAGATGATGTGGTATTTAGTCACGCTGGTGAAGAAGCGTCGCTGCAAGGGCAGTCACATAGGGATCGAGTTACAAGAATGCATCTGTTTCGAGAAGAGTCTGCGCCTGTACTTGAACCTCTTCGTAGCAACAACGACGATAGTGACAAAGAAGCACTTGTTTTGCTTCACGGCTACAACTGCTCTCTGGACTATAGCATGAACCGTCTAGCGCAGCTTCTAGCGCTTGGCGACTTTCCGCCATGTATCCATCCCTTTGTGTTCAGCTGGCCCAGCGGAGGTGTGCTGGCTTATTTCCAGGGTGAGCGCTCTGCAGTCACTTGAACGCATTTGTCAGTTTGCTCATCCCTCGCGTTCTTGATCTTTGTAGCGAAGAACGTTGGCAGCGAAAGTGAACGCACATCCGACGACTTTATTTCGTTTATGAAGAGCCTGATTGCAGACGGCTATACAAAGCTGAACGTCATCGCACACTCGATGGGAGCGCGTGTTTTCTTTGGCTCCCTCAACAGAGATCGATTCCACGAGGTTTTTCTGGTACACGTAGTATGCATTGCTTGGAAGCGCATACCACATCTGGTCTAACGTGAGTTGTTGACTAATGGTGTATTTGTAGGCTGCTGGAACCGTTGCTAACACAAGTAATTCTACAAGGAAGATGGAGCTCTCGACCCTTATATTGTGCAATCCAGATTATGACCGCAGCGACTTCGTGCAATACGGTGGTGGGTACGACCGAACGCGTCACTTTTGCAGCCACATTACACTGTATGCCGACAGTTTGGATGGTGCCCTGTTCTACTTGGAGTATTTGACAAAGACCTCGATCATTGGGCCGATCAATTACTCCTTAGGTCGGCGTGGGCATATGATTCATCGCGACCCGGATGCAAACGAAACTGTTGAACGATCGGATACGCAGTTCCTGGACTGGCAGGACAAAAATTTGGCTGCGCCACAAGATCTGGACTTTGCTTTCGCTGCTGTCAATCAACGTGCGGGCTATCCTGGCGTTACTTCATTCGCGTACAACCGTAAGCTGACCGACCAGACTAGTGACACGTGCGTACCCTACGGCACAACACGAGACGGTTCGGGTGAAGAAATAGCGCCACTTCACTACCTGGACATGGATGTGATCGACACTACTTGGATGGACAATAACGTGCATGCGATTCGACACAACTACTTCAATCTCAACCCGACTATCGTAAGTCCCCGATATGCGATACTTCACCAGGGAAATCATGTCGTCATTGCTCACTTTTTTTCTTACACTGTGGTCTGTAGGTCGATGATCTCCGCCATTTGGTCCTTACGAAGAAACGTGCAAAGTTTCGTCCCGGTCTGCTGAAGACATCATCAGCTGAGAATGTGTACATCTTCCTTGTTGCACCGTCACATGTCAAGAACAAGTAAGATGTCCGTTTTTAGTCAGATTAACACACAATTAATTACTTTCTCAAAGCAGTCAATAACAAAGGTTTAGTCGTTTTGCGGATTCGTCCCATTACGGGATAATAATAATTTAATAATAAAATATATCCAATGAAATATGTCATTTTGCAAAAAGCGACTTGCATCGCTTCAAGTCTTGCGCACGGACAGCCGCGTTGTCGCCACTAGCGTCGCTTCTGCTCACTTTTGCTGCATTGCGTGCACTTCATCTGGTTCGTGAGCGTCTTGCCGATTGACTCTAGTACTTTTCATCCTCTAACGCTCTAATTTGACGTCACGAATTAGTATATTGCGAGCTAGGACTAGAGACATTGAAATGGTACGGAAACCGGCGGCCTGGAAGACGTTTTTGGACTCTAAAAACGTCCATACACAGCACAAGGTGAAGCAAAAAGACGTGGTGGTTCCAATCGTGCGTTGGAATGAGCCGCCGCAAGTCGAAGTATCTTCTTTGCACATCTTCCACCTACCAGTGACTCAACCGAGTCAGAACTCGTCGTTCTTGGCTAGTAAAGAGAGTAGAAAACTATTTGCTGGTGTGGAAAAGCAGTATGATGCTCGCGATCATCTGTGTGTCTTTGCAGGGACGGTCGATGGCACTATTATTTACTGGAGGTTCGAGCACGACACTGTTGCACAAGTTAATATGCTCGTACTTCCACACGCTGAAAGTAGGAGACAGCCTGTTGTGGGCATGGTCAGTGGGACAGATGAATGGGGACAGAGTATGCTGATCTCTGCATCGGAGGACGGAGCAGTGGTGAGGTGGAAGCTGCCTAATGGGGCCTGTGCAGAAGCCAACGATTCGCTGGCAAAAGAGTTGTCGCCGCTGCTGGGACTCGAAATGCTGTGTAATAGACGCTTCGCACTTGTCGTGAGTAAGGTGTCAAGCATCATGGTGCTAGACACGTGGAAGATGCAGCTGTTGTACTGTGTGGACACAGCGCAGGAGCAAATACGACGGAGTGTGGCAGTGGGCGAGTTGTCAATGTCAAGACCAAAGTCACCGCGACGAAGGGTGGTCAGGTCGACTAATGCATCGAAAATGGAGACAAAGAGCAAGGGTAGAAATGAGGATCGAGAGGTGGTGGAAGGAGGACGAATGGCTCCATCTCGATCATCCCCCGCTGGCGGCGCGAAATGTACGGTTACGCTTCCTTTATCACACCATGCATCAACGAAACAGCAAACTCAGCGATGGGACGCAGTGGTGATATCGCTGGGTGCTGATGGACTTGTCAAATGTTTTTTGTGGACACAGCCTAGGGGATCTACGAGTAGCACATCGTGCAATGTGACTAGTGGTGGTGCGTCCGCGCACAATTCGTGGGGGTTTCGGTGGGTGCAGCGCAGCACCTGGGTCATATCGTGGGCTGATCAGGCGGAGGACATTACGTGTTCGCAAAGCACATCCCTGAAAGACGGGGATAATTTGAATCCACAGACTGCGTTGATGGGCTCTATCAAAAACAGCTATTTCCCGCATTCTGTAAAGATGTCTCCAGATTCATCTCTTGTACTTCTCGTTTGGAGAACTAAGTTTGTTGTGCTCAAGCGCAGTTGGTTGTGCTCACTGAAATCTCGCAGTGATGGCCAAGCTCGCAGTGAACGATCTGGAAAGTCGAGTACTGCCGGGGTAGGAAGCTGTCGTGTATCTCCGGCAGAGTTCTTGCGCCAAGCAGCTGAAGCACATGGAAGTAACGACCTTGATACGTGCAATAACGAAGTTAGTAGTGGAAGTATTGATTGGGAAGATGGCAAGTTTTTAGAGAATGGCATTATCGTTTTGTGGACAAGTACCGGACAGGTGCTCCAGTTTTTGCCAACTGAACCTTCAGCAAAGACTGCTGGAAAGCTTTTCATTTTTACGAAAGACCAAGATCAGTTAGTTCCACGGTCTGATTCTAAGGATTTAGGTCACTTCAAAGAGGCTGCATGCGTTACATCGATGGGTTGTCGGGCATGTTGTCAGCGTGTATTGCAAACGGATGATCGCCCACAAACGAAGCTAAAACGCTTGAATGCTTTACTGGCAGAAGAACGTCGGCATCCAGGATACATGTCGTGCATTGAATCTGGATCGTCAGCTTCGGAATCTACAGTGCAAATTGTGCACACGTGCTATCGGGGAACCGTAAGGCGTCGGACAATGCCGGTGGCACCAATACCATCACCAAGACGAGTGCTTCACAATAGTGAAAGCGTGATCGTAGCAAGAATGTCTCTGGCAGAAAAAACATGGTTTCATTCACTCACAGATGGATATGAAGCCGCAGCAAAAGCTGCTCACGATGAGAGCAGTGACAAGGATAGTACTGACAAGAACACGTGTTACAAATCTCAGCGTCGACATTGTTTGACGCACTTTATAATCGGCAGGGAAGAGACACAGTCATCCTCACCGTTTGAAGGTGCCTGGCGAACTGGGATGCATCATAAACGACAGCGAAGCCCTAATGACGCACTTTTACATTCAGCGGAACTGCCAATTACAACAGACACGGTGGCACCTGTTACAGAACGAGGTGGAGTCCGGAGTATTGAGGATAAGTTCGATCAGCTAGGAGTCGACGGAATCGACCAAAAGGGGCATGAGTACTCAGAGTACCGGTACTTGCTAGACGTCCCTATCATTGTCAAGGGTTTTTCGGATGGAAGGATTGTCATTGAATTGCTGAGCCAAGAGCACCTCTCGAGTGAATATGGTGGCGTGCTGAAGGATACAGCTACACGACTGTCATGTCATTCAGGGAAAGTGACAGCGCTGGCGCACTGCTGTTTGGGAGTTGAGTCCGCCACATCGTCATGTCCAAAAGCGGCTTCCTCCTGTCGTACAAGTACGGACATATTGAAAGAGACGTATCTTGCAACAGCAAGAAACCCTTTCCATCGTGCGCGCTTTCCTGATCTCGCTTTAGCAGGCAATTCCGATAAGCGACAAGCTGTGTTCAACAGTGGTCATCAAAGCTCGTTCACGATGAAGATCATGCTGGATGATCATGGAATACTTGATGGATTATCTCCCGACGCTGCAAGCAACCATCCTGCACTCAAATTTGTACTCTTTAGCGGTGCTTCAGATGGTGTCCTATGTGTGGTTGAGCTGACCTTGTACCACCCGGCTACAAAAAACGAATCAGGCAGGTCCGTTCGACATTCAGCAAGGATTTTGCAAAAGTTTCGTAACCACCGCGGCGCGATCCAGCAGATCAGTCTTTCACCAATCAAGAGGGGCATCATTGGTTCTGGTGGTGAAAACTGGGATGCAGAGTACCCTGATCGATGGATTGCAACTGCAGGAGTAGATTGCAAAGTAGTTGTCTACGCACCTCAATGCTTGCGAAAGTCCTCATCTCGACATTCAAAAGCCCGGAGCACGCCGACGCAATGTGCCGATGATCGGTTTTGTGTTGAGTGGAAGTGCGTGTTCCAATTGTCCGAGCATGCCGACAGTATACGCAATCTGGATTGGCATCTGGAGAGTGGTTTGCTTTACGTTCAATGCGACGATCAAATGGTATACGTCTGGAGCACTGACACAGGCATTTTAGAGCGTACGGTTCCGTGTGCGTTGGTCTATGGCGGTGGTGGTGATAGCAATCCGGTGGACGTTAGAGACGAAGCCGATAGCGTCGGCCGCTCCGCCGCTGGATTCTCAACGCTCTCAATCGGCAATGCAACGGTGCAGCTTATCCAGCTAAGTGTTCTCCGGAGTGCGGAACAGCTCAAAGAAAATTGGACAAGTTACTTCTCTTCACGTTTTCGGAGCAACAGCACCGTCGGTGAGTGCAGCGAGGTCGACCTTCAGTCTTCACAAGCTTCTGTATACGCGACTGGATCCATGGAGTTGTTTATGCTCTCGCTGCTATTGTCGTGGGGTATTACTCCCGCTATTGATCAGTCGTGTCGCAACATCCTGGGAATCAAACCAGCCCGTGCGCTCTACTCTTGTGCGCTTCAAGACTCCATTTCAGGAGCCCTGACAATACCTGTTCCATGGTCAACGCGGACGAATTCATCGTTGATGGAGAACGAGTCTACAGTAAGGCTCGGGAGTGAGTTTGCAAAGCCCGTTGTGCCTGCTTTTGCACGAAACTGGCAGCACTCATCGGCACTGTCAGCTAGCATCGCATTGGGTGTCGTATCGCTATGTATGAGCTGCATGGAGTTTGAGCATCCAGAGTCAGACAGCGTTAGCACGTCTTGCGTGAACAAGGAAGAATTTCAAGTTTTGTGGAGTCAGCTGATCACGCAGTACTCGGTTGTGCTGCCCGAATGTGTAGCTCAGTTTCGCGAGCCAGCACTTGAAGAGCTTGCAGCCTTTGGTTTTGACTCCTGCGAGCATACGCAGTTGGCAGCACGTACACTATTGAGTAACGTGATCAAGCGCCTCCATCCATCGGAACGCAGCATATTATCTGCAGAGTACTCGGCGAAACTGCATTGGGAGATGGTACGTTTGGAGATGGAGACGGGTTGTTCTTTTGTCGGGGCATGTGACGGGGTCGGAATCGGTGGCAGTGCGAACTATAGCGCCCAGTCAAGCGGTAATCGTGCCAGTGGTGGAAGCAGCAACAATGCCGGAGCTCGCTCGCACCCAGGGGTAGTGGCATTCTCGTTAGTAGTTGAAAGGCTGGGTCCACTAGTGCTCCTCATGAGTATGATCGGCACGTATTTCCCTGGCGAGATATCTCCAGCCTGCGCGCGTGAAGTTTGCAACATACTGGTATTCCTGTTAAAGGCACCGGAACGATTCGTGGCGTCAGTGTCATCAGAGCTGCTTACGAAAGGACTCATGTTGTTCAGGCCGCACCTAGTTGAGTTGTCTTCGCTCATCGTCCAGCTTCTCTTGATTGACATGCGCGAAAAACAGTGTGGGGCACCAAGTGGAGGCGGCGACGGTACCCCTTCTGCACCTGGTGGATCTCTTGCCAACTTTCAAGAAGGAGGAACTGGTGGAAGCAATGCAGCAATGAGTTTGTTGGTGGAGGTTGGTGCGTACGAGTCGACATTTGTTCTCAAGCTGCTACACCAGGAAATGTTCAATCTGGATCGCCCACCTGGTTTTCACGAGAGTATTCTATCGTGTATGATGGAGCTTGTCAACACCCACTACCTGCTCATGTGTCGACACCTGCCGGTCTTAGTGGGTACAGTGATGGCATGTCTGGACCCAACAAAGCCTGACCGCCGCCGTCGCTGTCTCTCTTTGAGTACCCGCTGCCTACATAGCCTGGTGCAGCGGTTTCCAATGGTCGACTTTCACAAGGAGACGCAGCGTTTGGCTCTGGGTACAATGGAAGCTGTAATTGTCATCTACGATCTCCGCACTGCTACGAAGTGGCGCGTCTTAGATGGCCACGCTTCGGCCGTCTCGGCTGTTCGATTTCGAGCCGATGGACGTGTGTTGGTTTCGTACGCAGCTCGAGATGGCAGTGTTCGATGGTGGAATAGTGGCAATGCTGGTCTGTTTGGTGGCATGCTCAAGATGCATCAGTCTTGTCTCAAAGAGCATACACTGACTGCAGTAAACGAGGCTCCACATGGAGGTGGTGCACCAGCGTCCATGAGTGGAGCAAGTGCTGGACTCAAGCAGATCATCCAGACCTGCCGCTTCCACTTTCTCACTCGAGCCGATACTCCTCGCGACAATGGTAGCCGGAGCACGCTGGATGAGCCACTGAAACAGCACATTTTGCGACTCACTCGAGAAGATGCTAGCCAAGTGCAGTTCCTGCTGTAAACAAAGGTGACGAAGTCTCATTGGCACTGCAACTTCAACATCCAATCCCAGCAGTCACGCACGTATTTGATGTATGCATACTAAAATGAAGAGAGAGTTACGTTCGACTCGTACCGACCGGGCAATGCGAGACAAAACATGTACCCATGATGCCATCACCCTGTCTAATTCGCTATCATCTTTCGAATCCCCTCTCACAGCCTCAACCCATTCACGAATCAAAAATGGCATCACCCGGCAGCCGAGCAGCCACTGCGATCGTTAAGGGCTCGGGCCACCGCGATGCTGACGAGGAGGCGCTTGCGGCAGCACTGGAGGAGTCACTTGTGTACAGTCTCAGCTTGAAATCGCGAGTGAATTTGCACTGGAACTGCGTCTAACGTTAAGAAATGATTGAATGCGTTTCTCTCTTTTGTTATAGACCCGACTTTATGGCTGAGATTCTGCACTCTGAAGACAAAAGACGCCGTCAATTTGGACGCAAAAACCAATGCGGTCACGTGCCGCTTCGAACGGCGACGAACGGCCGAGAACTGGAGCAGCAACAACGAAGAGAAGCAGAAAATGGACAAGAAGGTGAAGACGACGACAGTGATGATGATATTAAAGGCGTAAAAGGGCCGTTTTCTCACGATTCTGGAGCAGTCGTATCGGCAAAAGAAAGTCTGCTGGACAAGGAGGAGGAAATAGAAGAGGATCCCAATGAGCACCACACGATGCTGAACCTCGCTGACATTCTGCTCATCGACATTCTCAAGTGGTTGGATGAAGATTCCGTTGGCATCTGCTCGTGTACGTGCAAGCGGCTGCTAAACGTAGCTCGGTCGGAGATTCTCTTTGAAGTATTTTGTCGACGTATTTATCCCGTGCAGAACCCTAGAGCTGCTGTGGCGGTTGCACGCAACAAGTTTGGGCTGCGTCGTTTTCCGACGTGGTTTGATATGTTTCACGATAGACCGCGGGTGCGTTATAATGGATTTTATTGGCTCAAGGTGTCGTACTACAAAAAGCCGGAGTTGAGCATGTGGACGGACATTGTGCCAGGCACGATCTTGAAGTGTGTATACTACCGCTACTTCTCGTTCCAGCGAGACGGCACGGTGTTGTATGGTATGCTGTTCAAAGCTCCACACGATGCCGAAGCGCATATTCGTAACCAACGCAAGGGCGTGTACAGCGGAAGATTCTACGTCGACAAAAATGAGCTAATGGTGACAGTGCCCACAAACTGCAACGAAGTGAATTTTCGACTAACGATCACGCAACGAGAGCGTGGCAGAAACGTGAAGCTGGTGCTACAGGAACATTTTGCTAGCTCGGAGCCCGACGGCAGCGGTCGAATCAGCTACTACGACACCGCGGAAGAAGAGTTCTACTACTATCGGTTGTGGAATCTGTGATACAACTGCAATGTACTTCACGGTCGCACGGATCAATTCGTAGCAGAGACTGCTGGTACTTTACATGACTTGGTGATCGTGGTCGGGTAGACGGGTTGTCACCGCTCTGGCCTGTACACAAATGTAAGTCTGAATGGTGTCGTTGGGGAAGGTTGCTCCATGTCTTGGTTCGAAATACCTTTGCCAGCGTCGATTAGAGGCGCAGGATGATCCAGCAAGTTGTGCTAGTACTGAAATGAGAAGTTTTTTCAACGACAGCATCGTGGAGCATGACAGCAGCCGTTGCGGTATGGTTGATAATTGATCAGGGCAGTGATGTTAAGACTGGGAAGGAAAATGCCGCGGCGGCAGCAGAAGTGGCAACTCATGAATGCTTTTGTACAGCGACTCCATACAGAAGTCGCGAATGTGCGCATGTACGACAGCCTGTCAGCAGAAAGAGTGGGAGCGTACGACAGCTCGTCGTTAGCCGAGTCGTCTTCTCAAATTACTCGGGCTACTCCGACAACTTGCCACGTTCAAGATACGTTGTGATCTTTTGCACTTGTTGCCATTCGCACTCGAGTAAGCTAGCTTGACTTTGTGCCGCGGTAAGGAAGCTATGAGCGTCACCGACGATGTCAATGAAATGATTGGACAAGTGCTGGTTGGGCAGCCTCCTTCAGCTCTTGAAGGGCAGTTTATTCGGTGCCACACCACTCCGCCGATCATTGCAAGAATGAGGGCCCCTGATAGTGTCAAGCCTTAGTTTGAGGATTGAGATACGACAAAATCCGTGATTGCTGGCAGCAGAGTGGTATGGAGTGGCGTGGAATGCGATGTCACGTCCGCAGAGTGATCATCGATACAAGCTCCAAGTCTTTTTTCTGGACTCCATTTGTGGAGTGATGAAGCTGGAGGTGGGGCTGGCACCACACCTAGCAATGCTATCTTGCACCAGGCCTCTGCTCTCACGAAGTCGTATGGATGAATGCGTAGATGATGACGCCACGCCTTTTCTTTCGTTTTGAATGTGGCTCTTCAGCTACCGCGAGTTACCCACCTGCACATGGTCGACGGCGCACGGTGGTGCCTAACAAATGCGGATGTCTTGTGGACGTATGTGAGAAGTGTAGAAGCGTTACATTCGGGGCCTCACCGATGGACGTGTCAATGGATGCATGCAGACGTGAGCACAACCGGATGACATCAAGCGGCTGCACAGCGAGATATTGTCCAGAAGACTTTTGGAAAAACACGTATAGCTACTACCGAAACGAGCAGCATCATAGCAACAGCGTTACAGCTATGGTTCAGATGGAAGAGAGCATGCATCGCGCACCCATCTAGCAGGATGTTGTCATCAGCATAGCCCCAGAAATACACACGCAGTACAGCACAAACTATGGAAACGCAAAATGGGCTTGCAGATTGGCGGTGATTCCATCTCTGGGTACAACTGACCTGCACGTCCTTCCCGCCGGGTATCTTTCGAAGAAGGGTGACGGCAGGAAATTTGTTGCTAGGACGCTCCTCCATTTTTCTCGTGATGTGCTGATTGGTTGCTATGCTGCTGGTTAGCATGCCACATGAAGTCTGTTGTCAGCACACGCACCTCGATCGCTCGGATGTGTTGCTATCTATAGCTATGCCCAGTGGACCCACCACACTTATAAACGAGTCAACACTCATCACAGTTTTGCTTAACCGCCACGCCAGTTTCTCCGCGCCATGTCAGCATTTTCTGCGGAATGTGCCCCATTTGCCTGGGCAGTCTTGGAATATTGCTGATGGTTGCACGCAGCATTCTCACTTCCACCGAAACAGCATCAAGTTGTACTTCCAACGGAAATGGTAAACAATGACCACGCGCAAGGTGCACCAGTTACAGGTGATCGAATGGTGCAAAGACTGATTAGAACGGAGACTAATGACCCTTATCGTGGTGAACTGGGCTCTGAACATTGTCCGAATCGCATTTTGCGGTCGTCCCCGTTCATGCGTAAGCAATGTGCTTTGTGAGGAAGCGCTTGGCATCGGATTACGTGCCGCAGTGTTCTTTCTACCTGCATTGGCAGATTAAGGCTGACGACGATGTTTGACTACTGATAGAGCACCTGGGTCGATGAGGCTTCGACTACTGTGCTTTTGAAAATCTGCAAACACAAGTGCAGTGGTCGGTGCTCGATACAAATGGCGATCACAGCATCGAGACACCAGCGAGCGGATGAGCTCATTTTGAAGCCTTGACGATGTTTGACAAACTCGACATCTCGGTCATGGTACGGATTGCTGCTATCGATAAGATATTCGGTGACGGCCAGATTGATCCTCGGTGTTTCATATTTCGACGCAGCAAATTAGTCGCTCGGTCATTGCAAGCCCTGGCCTTCCTACGCTACATCGCGTTCCGGTTACGAGCCAAGCTCATGTTCGAGTACGTCAAATGCATTTACCATGCTGCAGCTCTCGTTGTAGCTGTGCTCGCTTCGATGCGGCGACTTACGCTCTTGTCGCAATGGACACAAAAACGTCGCTGGGGCAAGCAGTGACACAGACGCAGAGCACCAGGCACGGTTCCTGTGATTAATGTCGCGCTGGGTTTGTGGAGCATCTCGAAGAGGCAGACGCTCCTCGAGCAGATATGTCACCACTTCAACACAGTTGTCTTATTCCGTGGTAAAGAATGATAGCGTCCAGCTCCTAAACACATGAACGCACAGCCTTCACTCATCTCGATCGTCTGGGTACACGATGTCCAAACAAACCAGAGAACCGTCCACGACATCTAAAACTTGATGACACTCGGATCACTTTATTGCACGAGAACTTCTAAAAGTCGTGTAACATCAAAAATGTCGATCGAGGATGATAGCAAGCTACTGCACCACATTAAGCTACAAAACAACAACGTTGAACCACGTTACCTGTGCTCACGCACTCACTACAGGTCACCGCCGTTTCCTACCGTTTGACCAGCCATGCCACCACCAAATGCACCACCGGCTGAGCCGAATCGGTTGCCTTGAGCACCAAACCCTCCAGCACCACCATTCATTCCACCAAGACCATTGAAGCCGTTCATACCTCCGTTGGCACCCGGACGCCCGCCGAATCCGCCCATGCCACCGCCAAATGGACGACCCTGACCCCGTTGACCGATTCCTCCTCCCATTCCGCCAAATTGACCCCCGCCGAGCCCACCAGCTCCCGGGATTCCACCAGTAGCACCTGCAGCTCCAGCTCCAGCTCCAGTAGCACCAGCTCCAAGACCACCAGCAGCTCCTGCTCCAGCTCTTCCAGAGGTTGCACCGATACCCGCTCCGTTGTTAGGTCGACCGGCTGGTACTGTCGGCGCAGGCGTCACAGGACCCCCGTTACCCACTCGTCCATTTCCTGTTCCTGCTGCGCCCCCAATCGCGTTGCCAGCCCCAGCAGCATCACCTCCAGCCCCAGTCATGAGTCCGGTCGTGGTGCGGCCACCCTGGCCAAGTGCAGCCCCGTTGCCACCTGCTCCGATGCCAAACTGATTGGCACCACCGAAGCCACCCGGTTGTCCGAAACCACCGCCAGTGTTACCCGCCTGGTTGAAGCCGCCGGTATTGCCACGACCAAACTGACCCAATGCACCGGCACCACCCGGAGCGCCGCCTCCAAAGCCACCAAGACCGTTGCCCATTCCACCACCGAATCCGTTGCCACCTCCATTCAGGCCGTTCATTCCATTACCAAATCCGTTGCCATTACCTGCACCGCCAAACTGCTCACGACCACGCGCCTCTGGACCCGCTCGCATCGGACCGCGAGGTCTCTGAGCAAAAACATCGCGATTATTCGTGAAAGTCAGCACTGCAATTGCCAGTGCGAGACGAGCGGCCATGTTGATCGAAGAGGGTTGAGAGCGAAGTGCGAAGAGCAGACAGTTATTGCAAAGGAGCTGGAGAATCTGAAAGTGAGAGTTGAAGGCGGTTGGAGGTTGACAGTTGCTGGCGCTGCTTACTCCTGCACGAGCTTATGCGTGGTGGTGGTAGTGGTGATGATTCAATCCTTCACGTTGACTCCATCAAGTCTTCATCGACCCACCTAGTCTCTTGAGATCCACCATCAAAACTAGCGGACTGAGAGTCTATCTCGCCGCCTTTTGTGGGAGGGTCATGCTTCGAGTCAGGCAGGTCTTAAATGCATACATAACGTGGTGCGTTTCAATCACATCGAGCCGTAAAGCATGTCAGTTCGACTCTGCGCTTAAGCTGCCAACTCTTTCAATGTTGTGCTAATGTACTTCGGAAACACGTCGCCCCTAGGTGTGTAAACAGTCTCCTACATCTCAGTTACGGGTCAAGCGTAATCACGGTGATGTCAACAGATTTTGAGTAGAATGAGCTTGTATCTTCCAGGCTTTAGCTTGTGTCAAATATGTTGCAAGAGTCTTTGCTGCTGTTGATATTTACATGAGTTCATTTTCGGTCGTCAAACCATCGAGCCATCGATGCTGGCAACAGGAATACGTGGTCAATGTCTACGACGCAACTGTATACTTTTACGGCAAAGCAAGGGTTCAGTAGCCAAGATTTCAGCGCTCCATAAATCTATGACACTGTAAGCCAGTTGATACGAAAGCGCAACCTTACACCTCTCATGCAAACACTTTGGCGTTCATTGCTTGCCGAATCCTTGCCAGGAGGCCGGAGATTGTTTTCCACGTGATACGATGAAGATGCCGATCATGTCTAACTTGTCATCCCATAAGCTTGTACCTGCAGCACCTCTAAGAAACATGGAGTAGAAGTATGTGTCGCTCAGTGTTGTTGACTCTGTGCATCGAGCTCCGACGGTAGCTGTTAAGCTCCGGAAGTTACATAATCTGGATGTACGGTAGCCGACGATCTTACGATGAAGTTCTGACGACGGTATGAAGTCCGATAAATATTGATGAATGCAACATCTAGTTTCGCATCGATACGATTTATACGAACAGAAGTGAAGTCAAGTGCCAGCATTCCCTATTCCTTGAACTGTCGAAACCTTCGTTCATCAAAACTTCTTCTGCTCGGAAAACGATTGCCCTTGTATACTTCAATCACAGACTAAGACGATGTCACCTCCTACCAACTTCGCGAGACGTGCCAACACTCCAGCTGGGCCCTCTATAACAACTACTTCGTTTAAGCTTGCGTCCTAAACTCGCAGTGTTTGGTCCGGCACCGTACTCATGAGCTTTTGGATGTATCCTCTACTTTTGATGCAAAGCCAAGGGTCGATCCTCCTCTCGCGTAAGCAAAATAGGCGACCCTAGACGACCCTATTTACAATACCATAGACCGAAGCTGGGCGACCATGACTTTGTCTAGAATCAGGATGGGGACACCTAGGGGCGACGTGTTTCCGAAGTACATCAACACGAGGCCGAAAGAGTTGGCAGCTTAAGCACAGAGTCGAACTGACATGCTTTACGGCTCGATGTGATTGAAACGCACCACGTTATGTATGCATTTAAGACCTGCCTGACTCGAAGCATGACCCTCCCACAAAAGGCGGCGAGATAGACTCTCAGTCCGCTAGTTTTGATGGTGGATCTCAAGAGACTAGGTGAGTCGATGAAGACTTGATGGAGTCAACGTGAAGGATTGAATCATCACCACTACCTCCACCACGCATAAGCTCGTGCAGGAGTAAGCAGCGCCAGCAACTGTCAACCTCCAACCGCCTTCAACTCTCACTTTCAGATTCTCCAGCTCCTTTGCAATAACTGTCTGCTCTTCGCACTTCGCTCGCAATCTCTTCGATCAACATGGCCGCTCGTCTCGCACTGGCAATTGCAGTGCTGACTTTCACGAATAATCGCGATGTTTTTGCTCAGAGACCTCGCGGTCCGATGCGAGCGGGTCCAGAGGCGCGTGGTCGTGAGCAGTTTGGCGGTGCAGGTAATGGCAACGGATTTGGTAATGGAATGAACGGTCTGAATGGAGGTGGCAACGGATTCGGTGGTGGAATGGGCAACGGTCTTGGTGGCTTTGGAGGCGGCGCTCCGGGTGGTGCCGGTGCATTGGGTCAGTTTGGTCGTGGCAATACCGGCGGCTTCAACCAGGCGGGTAACACTGGCGGTGGGTTCGGACAACCGGGTGGCTTCGGTGGTGCCAATCAGTTTGGTATCGGAGCAGGTGGCAACGGGGCTGCACTTGGTCAGGGTGGCCGCACCACGACCGGACTCATGACTGGAGCTGGAGGTGATGCTGCTGGGACTGGCAACGCGATTGGGGGCGCAGCAGGAACAGGAAATGGACGAGTGGGTAACGGGGGTCCTGTGACGCCTGCGCCGACAGTACCAGCCGGTCGACCTAACAACGGAGCGGGTACCGGTGCAACCTCTGGAAGAGCTGGAGCAGGAGCTGCTGGTGGTCTTGGAGCTGGTGCTACTGGAGCTGGAGCTGGAGCTGCAGGTGCTACTGGTGGAATCCCGGGAGCTGGTGGGCTCGGCGGGGGTCAATTTGGCGGAATGGGAGGAGGAATCGGTCAACGGGGTCAGGGTCGTCCATTTGGCGGTGGCATGGGCGGATTCGGCGGGCGTCCGGGTGCCAACGGAGGTATGAACGGCTTCAATGGTCTTGGTGGAATGAATGGTGGTGCTGGAGGGTTTGGTGCTCAAGGCAACCGGTTCGGCTCAGCCGGTGGTGCATTTGGTGGTGGCATGGCTGGTCAAACGGTAGGAAACGGCGGTGACCTGTAGTGAGTGAGTGAGCACAGGTAACGTGGTTCAACGCTGTTGTTTTATAGCTTAATGTGGTGCAGTAGCTAGCTATCATCCTCGATCGACGTTCTTGAAAACTTCGTGTCTCAATGCGGTTGATGCCTTCGCTTGTATCGGTTGAAAACAGGTGACATGAACTCACCGCTTCGGGACAAGATCTGTCAGTCACCACAGATCTGTTCGGCATGGTAACCACGTTCTAACTCTAGAGTGTGTGGTGAACTACATGCCGACACTACTTGTATCATTAGTGACGAGATGACTTGGTCAACCGGAAAGCCACTGAGCTTTTCACCTGCTACAATGCGTCACCACTATCGCGATTGCAACGGAACGATGCCACCGTACCCGATGCCAATCTACATGACGTCAAGAGGAGGAAGTACCTTCCAACTGAGCATCTTCTCCTCTAGCCTTTGGTCTTGTTAGACACCCAACGAGACCTGTACGTACCCACGTCGTCGTAGAATAACGACACACGACACACAAAGAACGACGATGCAAACGCAGTGCGAAAGGACTCGACCCTTCCCTTCAGCTTCCTCGCACAAGCATTGATTCCAACACATCTGTCGCATCCTTAAAAGAGCTCCTCAGCCGCAACGTCTGACTCGTCCATCAAACCCAAAACGAAAAGAGCGTCCGCCTCAACTCGCTTCTTGTCACACGCAACGCACTCATAGTACAGCGTCTATAACACCTCAAATCCATCCAGAGCCTCCCGCCTTTCGACCTCCACACTCCAATACACTAGAAACAACCAGCCAGCCACCTCGTGAGCAGCTCCACACACACCGACAGGAGCTGCTCGTCCTCGCATTCATCATTTTCCCAATGACATTAACACGTACCAGCTCCTTCCGTCCAAGCCGTCGCTATTCCCATCCCCCACGTCACCTTTCTCCGGTTATCATCACCCTTCACCTCTACTTGATCCAGCTCTCCCTCCTCCCATCGTCTTCACTCGCTACACGCCTTTCCAACCCAGAAGGTCTTCCAGTTCTTGGTCGCACCAAGTCGGATCTCTGTGCTCTCGACGTGGATCAATCCCGGTACGCTCTGGATCTCGTGCAGCTCGCACTGCCGCCGTCCCTTTCCCACCCTTCGGATCTTGACGCTTCCCAAGCTTTTCCTACGGTTTTCTGCTTTGTCAACACCATCTCCGTGTACCACAAGACCCGGGCTCAAGCAGTCGCGGAGACGTGGGGTCAGCGCTGTACTAAGCTCGTGTTCTTCAGCAATACTACCGACACGATCGTTGTTGGTGGGGCCAACTCGGCCAACGAGCGGCACTTTGACGTGATTGCGATCGACGCTGTTGCTGATCACAATCATCTATGGCAAAAACATCGAGCCACACTTCGGTATGTGCATCAGCACTTTCGACACGAGTACGAGTGGTTCTACAAAGCTGATGACGATGCATACGTGATACTGGACAACTTGAGGCAGTACTTAACAAGACCAGAGATCATGGAGACGTACAAGCGCGAGCCAATGCAACTGGGGCACAGGTTGAATTTAACGCAAGACCTTGTGAGCTATTACATTGTGGACGAGGCACTGGAAGAGATCTGGAGAACGAGATGGGACCGATGGGTCTTCAACTCGGGGGGACCGGGGTATGCCATGAATCGACTCTACCTCGACCAGATTGTCCAGACTTTGCCAGACTGGACGTGCTTGTCGGATCGGTACAGTGAAATGCTGCCGGACGATGCATCGATCTCGTTCTGCATGATGTGGCACGACGTCTTGCCGTGGGATACGCGGGACCACCAAGGACGAGAGCGATGGCACGCTGATCGACCCAAAGGCGTCTTTTTCACGGATCCGAGTCGAGCGGAGGAGTGGTACGTCCAATACCATCAGCATATTGGTGGCGTACGGTGGAAGCAAGAAAGCACGGCGCCGGATAGCGTGGCTTTCCATTACATTAGTCCAGCGCTCATGTACCATCTTGAACGCACGCTGTACTTCTGCCGCACTGGAGACGATGTGCCCACCATTGCTGCCTTCAACGAGAGGTACAATTTAGCTATAGGTGACGCTGTCATGGTGTACCAGGATGAAAGTGCCGTATCGGGATAGATTGCAAGAGCTTTGCGTCGCTGATACCAGCAGGTGCACCAACCAGTTTTTGTTTTCCATCGTTGCGCGCAAGCGACTCTTTCTGCTATAACGTATTGTCCTCCTCGCCCCACTGGGCTCCGAAAAGAGAATGCGTGTCTACGTTCGTGTTCTGTGCTTGCTGCCACTTGACATGCGCTTCGAGATCTTTACTGGGTATCACCAGCATTTCCGGAAGGTCTAAGATTCGCTTGATTGACTCATTTGAAGTGCCTAGAACCCCTGCCAATGGTGACGTCGATCCCGATGCCAGAGCTTGGTCACGCCGGAAAGCTAGAACGGGCATCTCCAAGAGCTCCTTGAACGCGTTCTTCTGTGTCTTCATACTATGCTTCTCACGCAACAGCGTGTCCAGTGCATCTACCTGAGCAGGTACGACGTCGGGAAGAGATAGCAAAATCTCGCGTGGGGCTACACAAAGCGATGACGCGGGGCGAAGTGGCTGGTTGCATGGGTCGATTCCCTTACACTCATCCACAGGAGTCAAGCCCAATGCGAGCCTGCAGTAGATGTTGCGCACAAGATTGATGATTTCCCATTTGAGACCGTCTTCCTTCACGTGACCAACATGTTCCGTCAAAATGCCTTGGAGGGCTGCAGAAAAAATGCCACGACCGAGGAGAGCATGATACTTCCCGTCACCGTGCAATACGTTAACGAGCTTCTCACCAAGCGCCACTGCTTTTCGGCAGCTCAGTGTGTCCTTCCAGCAAATCACCTGAATCAAAATCGCGCCAATCGCAAATGGCAGTGAAGGCGAGTGCATTAGGATGTAGTCACGCAGGAAAGCGTCTTCCAGACTGGTGACATGCTTCGGGTTGTCTGTATCGGTTCCCACGACTGTTTTAGGATCAATGGCATACTCGATGAAATCAACAAATTCACGCGTGAGCTCCATCACCATCTTCTCCTGCGCAATCTCCTGCTTCGCGCTATCAAGTCCGACTATCAGCACATTCCACGGACCGTTTGCAGGATGCTGGAAAATCAGTGCAGCGCGCTGTGCAAAATGATCGAATAAAGTGGCGAGCACGGAGTCCAGTAGCGATGGGTATAGCTCTTGGGGGCAGTTCTTGAGGAAAGGCAAGTACACGTACGCCAGAGCACCCTTCAGGTGGCGGTGTTCCATCAAGTCTAAATTGCTAAGCATGCTGTTCTGCAGGACGGAAGCTACCTGCGGATTTTTGTAGAAGCTATTCTGAGCAACAGCTACGGCCATCAAATGATACGAAATGTCGCGCGCATTCTTGTGCCACTTTGACCATCTAGCGGCACCGGGCAACTTCATGATTTTCTCATCTTCTAGATGGGTTTTTCCTCCAAGCAGCTGGGCAACTTCGTCCACAGACACAGTCAACAACCAGCAAGCCGTAGAGGTTTTCAGCACTGCTTCTTTTACAGCCGGCTCTTGCAAGCCATGAAGAGATCGCACAAAAGCAAGCAAATTCGGAAGTAAATGCGGCCACGCACCGTCAAACGCTCCTGTGTCTTCAGATGGTCGCGGTAAAGTCATCGCTCCTGACCTTTTCGATATACCATACAATGTCGTAAGTGTCTTGATAATCATTCTGAGTTGTTTCTTTGACTTTTCGTCGTTTGCAGCCGCTTCAATAGCGGTAACAATGCTCTGTGGGGAGCTCACGAGAGCAGTCATTTCTGCAGACGTCCATTGTGCGAGTGGATCTTGCACGATCTGCTGTACGAACTGCACACGTTCCTCTCTGTTCTCCATCGAGTTCGAGACCAACACCAGCATCTCGTACAGCATCACACCTTCCGTGTCGGTGACTCGACCAGCAGCAAAGAGCTCCCGTGCCTTCGTGCATAGCACTGGGAGTACAGGTAAAATCTGTGCAGGGATTGCCTGGCAAATCGTAACAAGTGACGACAGTGCCCGTCGTCGAACATTCGCGGTACTACTGCTCATTATACCGTGCACGTCCTCGCCAGACATCACGAAGTCAATATTTGCAAAAAGCTTTTCGAATACCGCTGTAAGCATGCTACCATCGAGCGCGTAATACTTCGCAAACGACGCTAACACCAGTAGCTGGCGATATTTAAGGAGCGGGTCAGGGGTATCGAACGACAAAATTGACTGCAAAATCATCTGCAAGATCTGGTGATTCACGGGATTCTGCATCGCACTTGGAGGGAGTTGCTTTACAATGCAATCGATCAATGATGATATACCTTCGTGGTACAAGTAAGCAGTACTGAGATCCGTGCAGTAGCCACGATCGGCACTCAAGTGATCTGTTCCAGCGGCATACTGTGTCAGCACAACTGCCAAACGATCGTGCAACGACCGCAGTGCAACGGTTGGATCCAGCTGTACTAACACGCGAATCAACGCGTACAGACGTCCACGAAAGTTACCGTAGAACGCAATATACTCACCATGATCGTCAAACTCTTCTCTACTGCAATCGCAAGCAGCCGCTTGAGGTCCAGGGTTCGCGCGCTCTGGTGAGCCCAATTTAAAGTACTTGTCAAACGACACCTGTCGCAGCTGTTCCAGAATGTCGGCCAAAAAGACTTCACCTTGCTTCAAAATCGTCTTGTTCTTCAGCACTGTGAGCCACAAGAGTACCTGCGCTTCCGTCAAGATCAGACTCGAGTGAGCAAACAACTTGCACAGATTCTGCAAAATCACCCGCAAAAGCGCCATTTCAGGCTCACCTCGTCCATCTACCGACAGCAGCAGCAGCACCTCCAACTGACACGTTCCCCATGCAACCAACACATCGTTCACTTTCTTATGAAAGCACAAATTGGCCTCGAGGTCGGGCTCCAATGTCGTCAAATCCAGCGTATCCACTTTCTCAATAATCTGACCAATGCTTTGCAACATCACAGCTCGATTTTCTTTGCCAAATGTCCGCGTCATGTACACTTCCAAGCACTCGGCACCTGCCCGTCGAAACTCCACCTCTTCCAACAGCAAAACCGCCACTAGAATAAAGTTCGTCGACGGCTCCACGGCTCGATCCAGCGGCATCCACTCGAGAAACTCCTTCAGCAAGTCCAGCACGGCATGAAGCAGCCTCCGACTCGTCTCTTGCTGCTCCTCTGTTGCTGTCAGTGACTTGTACACTGTATACTGCTGCTCCAGCTCGTGATACACGCGTGGCAGCAGCTCGGGTAACCCCGTATAAAGTCCCTGCAAAATCTCTTTCCGTCTTGTAGGCGGAATCGACGTGTTAAATGAACTGTTGACACAATCTTCCGCCAACGACCTCAAAAGTAACACGACCAGCTCCACTTGGTACCTCGATCCGTATTGCCACTTTTCCACCAGCTCGTCGAGTAACCCCGGCCAGCGTTGGGGAAACTGCCGTTTCGCAATTTCAGCCAATAGCGTCACTTTCTTCTCCCGAACGTACCCCGGATCGTCCTTTGTCGATACCGTGATCTCTTCGTTCTGAAGTAGCAGCAAGTCGACGACCTCGCCCCGCATCTTGAGCTGCTGGTCCAGCGACAGCGAGTCCCACTGTGTCAGCACGTGGTGCTCGAGCACGTGCAGAGCAAAGTGCTGACGCCGGGCCCGCTCGCTGGCGTCCAGTGTACCCGGGTTACGGTACAGGGTTACGGCATACAGAGCGCAGTCGGGACGGCGCTTGAACGTCTCACAGAATGCGTACGCAGCGGCGCGGTCAATCGGAGACGACTGGGACGAGTGACTTACGTGCACGGCCAGCAGCAGTTGCTCGTAGAGCTGCGTGTCGGCCATGGCGACCGCGTCGCGAGGAAGAGGGGGTACGCTGGGGGACGGGGAATGACTGGCGAGTGGGAGGGAGGGTACGTTGTTGTGGTTATGGGACAGCACGAGTCGGACAGGGAGGGCTGTGGATGGTGCAGGTGGTGTATTTTTGTAGGTTGTTACCTAGAGTGGGGAGGGGGTGAAGTAGTGCAAAGGGATAGAGTGGTAGGTGGATGGATAGAAGCGGTGGAGAGGTTGACGACTGGGATAGAGTGAGGTTTATCGCAGTATTTTTGTGGGGCGAAGAGCGTTAAGACCGGTATTATAGTTGTGCGACTGACGGTAAGATAGGGGAGCCAGCTCTGGAGCTCGCCCCTTAATTTAATCGATTTAGTTCATAGAACTGAATCGAGTCGCAATAAATACTGTTTAAGAGGAGTCAACATTAAATGAGTGTGATGCTGTTAATGTATGTAGAAACTCGGTCCAGTATCTGCCGGGGCAACGCGATCAGCCTTTGCTTATAAGCGTCCAGCATTTGCTAATGTGATCACACTCACCTCTGATCGATTTCAAGCCAATCGCAAGCATGCGCCACAATAGCGACTTGAACATGTCTGTAACACCACGGGGGGGGGAACGCTACATCGCACTTAATTGGTGTGAGGTACACCTAACCGCGTTATTTACAGACACACACAGACAGGAAAGTACGATTTTCGAGTTCGGCATTCAACCTTGCGCACATCCAATAGTTTATTCATCCTTCGGGCTCGCAAATATAATAACGAATTGAGCCACAGTTGATAAGCGAATATCTGTGCGCAGAGATGCAGGAGATTCCGTCACTGCAGTGCAACAAATGATGCAGGTCATCAGTACTCTCGCTATCATCGTGACGATCATACGAGAATCGAATATAAGCTTATCGAGTGCGGAGCCGCATTTAAATTGTTTTTAGGCTTCGAAGTGTGTCATGCAAAATGATGCAAATAATCAGGAGGGAGAAGGGTCCATCGCTATTTATGTGATGCATTCTTTAAAAGTAGCAGGGGTAGCGTTATTTGCACAAATTCGTTCTGTCGTCTATCACGGATCCTAGAGCATACATTGCTTGTATGGTTGCTACAACCGGTACGAACGCATTTACAGTAATAGAAATGCACCAACTTACGGTAGTCAAAGAAACGCCATTTAAGGTCAGCACGAGACGACGAAAGCGACAAAAAGTATTTTGGCCTCTTACGTTCGTTTTCCTAGTTTGTGATTTGGCACTGTAACAGGTTATGAGCCCAAACAACGACTTCGGCTTCAAGGTCGAGTCTTTCGGCGGCACGAGCTATGGGTTTTGGAGCTACAAGATAATTATGTACCTAATGTCGAAGGGGCTGTGGGGCGCAATCGCGGGCGACGAGACAATGAGCGAGGCCAAGTAACAGCAAGCCCAAGCCGCGATCGCGCTCAATCTGAGCGAATCGCAGTTGATGCATGTCATCGACTCGGCGACTGCAAGAAACGCGTGGGATAGTTTGGCGCAATGTCATTATAGTCAAGACAAGGCGAATCGAATATGGCTGAAGGAGAAGTTCGCCTCGTTCAAGTATGCAGCATCAAGCATGAGCAGTCATGCGATGGAGCTGGAAGACCTCGTGATGAAGATGAATCGCGCGAACTACTGTCCAATTAAGGTGGACGTGTGCGCGGTACTGTTGTGGAGTCTGCTTTTAAGCTTCGAGAGTTTGGTACAGACATTTCGCATGTCCGTCGCAAGCTTTAGTTTTATTAACCTCTTGAGCAAATGATCTCCGAAGAAGTGCTCCAGAAGGAGGCTGCGCGGGTAGAAGATGCAACGGAACTCTACACAGGCAAGAGGAAGGGATAGCAGTTTCCGAATAAGCACCAAGGACGGCGTACGAAAGGACCATCAGCGACCTGCTGCAACTGTGGCATGGTCGGACACTACGCCAGAGATTTTTGCTCCAGACGAGGGCCAAGGGAGCATTTCAAGTGCGAAGAGCGACGCGAAGCTGAATGTCATCGGACATGGGACATTGAAGCTGCGCGTCTGGACAGGGCATGCGTTGATCGACGCTCGCCTTGAGAACACACTTCACATTCAAGATTTGTTCAAAAAACCGCGTTTGCTCACGGCTGCGGCAGCGCGCGGCATGGCAGTGAAAATTACGCGCAACGAGTGCGTGGCGAAGCTTGGAGGCACACCGGTCGTAACGGAAAGGAAGGCGGGGCTTCATACTGCACCTCAACGCTGACTATGGTACGGAGTGCCACATTTCCGAAGACGAGACCGAGCTTTGGCATGGAAAACTGGGCCACGCATCGTACGTTACACTGAATGCCATGGTTAAAGGCGGAAGGAATAAGGGCGTGGCAATGAAGTCGGACGTTGCGTGTGACGTGTGCGCAACGTCAAAGCAAGTGCGCAAGTGATATACGACACGCGAAGAAGACGCTGAAACCAGGGAGAGTTCGCGCTCCGACCTGGCGGTGTGCTCCGACGTTCTCGGTCCTATCATGCCAGCGTTTAAGTCCGGTTTTAGCTACATAGTCATATTTATCATGATGAAGAGCCGGTATGTGACGGTATACCCGTTGCTACAGAGGAGAAACGTTGCGAGTGTGTTCAAGAGGTCTTACCAAGAGATTAAGAGCGCGTCTGGAATAACTATAAAGGTGCTGCAAAGTGACAACGGCGGCGAATACCGGAACACAACGATGAACAACTTTTGCAAGGCAAAGTTCGTCAAGCGAGGGTTCTCGGTTCCGTTCAACCCTAAACAGAACGGGATGGCGGAGTGGATGAACCGCACGCTGGTGGAGATGGCGCGCTGCATGCATAAGGACAGCGGCATCGACAAGTCGTACTGGTGTGAGGCACTGATGACAGCAGCAGGCATTCTAAAAAATATCCTGAACGCGTCGAACAAGAACTCAATCCCGCACGAGATGGTGTTCAAGAAGGTTTTGCGCACGATGCAATCAATAGGAGTAGAAAGTAAACATGCATTAAAAATAATCAAGTACTAACCATTAACCTATGTTTTAGTCCTAGCCTAATTCCATTATCTACAAAAATGTGTGCTAATAACTTGCTCACCACTCATTGCACACGTTCATCGTTGATTGGACCGCTATAGCTGGCTGATGTGATGGTCCATATCATCCAATCGTTGGGTTTTTCTGAAAATTACACATTACACTAATATTCGCGAACATTATCAACCTTTGCAATAATAGTCTAATCAGCAAGGGTCAAGGTTCATTACATGTAATAGGCTTACCCCGTTACAATATCCCCTGGAACGATAGTCATTCAGTCACTTTCATGTTGACGTGGTCACCATTAGACCACATTAGGTACAGGAAGCACTAATCTGGTCGGATCCATTCATTTCTGTATCTTCATCGTATGGTGAACAACTCCATGCATTCCTCGGCGAAAGCTGATAAGAAGGAATCTGCGCGTGTTGACGCAGCTGCTCTTGACGAAGCTCAGTTTTTCGCGGTAGACGATGTTTCGTCTGCTGCTATTGCAACTCTTCCTGCTGAACCAGTTGCCGCAGATGTACATGATGTGTCACCACGTGCCAGTGATGACAATAGTTTCCCAGTGGAACTCATCTATTCGGGGGAGTCGGATGGTGGGTCCGTCTCGAAGGAGACGCCTAGGTAGCCCGAGTCCATAGGGGCGACCAAATACAAGCCTACGAATATGAATCGATTGGGTAGCGAGGCCCATGGTCACAACAGGAGCCTGTTAATCTTGGAGGATAAGCATCCTGACTTATCCCCTACATCTGCTACGGCGCATTCGCTTCCTGTGCGAATGCGGTAATGTTTTTGCAACGTCGTGATGACGATTGTAGTGGTCCCAAGACTTCCGTTGGTCCCACTCAGGAGGCTCTTGACGGCAACTTGATTCGTATAGCCCCTGAACACAAGAATGGGTACTACCAGAAAGTCTCATGAACGACTGGTCAGGCGACACAAGCCAGCATCATCTAATTATATTGCTTGATGCAAGGCTGCTGCACGGCCTCGAAATCAGTGTGAGCAAATTTCGCGCTGAATAAGGATTCTATGCCGAAGTTTTTTCAAGCATCATTAGTATTGTGGCAACAACGAGTGAGGCAAAAGCTCGTTGCTGCAGGCGTGGGACTCCTTCATACTCAATGTGCAGCACATTGGGCGTAATGCATGGCTTCGAAACTTGACGCAGCTCGTGTAAAACGTCAGGTTGCACCATCCGTCTTGTGAGGCAGGAATCCCATGCCTTACGTACGGAGATCCATGTCCATGTTGCTTCAGCGACACGCAAAGCAACCTAAGAGATGTGTACTTCCTTTCTTCACCATGGGTAGAGCGCACATCTCGTCTGAGATGCATGATGCAATTGCTAACCTGCAGTTGCTCAACCAGTGCCATGGGCGCGTGCTCTCTGATGGCCCTTTTGAGTCATCAGACGTGTCTCGTCGTAATGTTTGATGAAACCCTCAACGTCAATTATCAGCTCGGAGTGAGGCCTCCGGCTGTCTTGCGACGGCGGATAGCCGCACCCGTGAACAAGAAAGCTCGTTCGCTGCCCCTGCACGTCACGGTGTTTCAAGATGCGCTACAAGTGAAGGCGTTGATTACCGTGCAGAATCAACAACAGCTGTGGTGGGGGCAGGAAGATCGGCTCTAAATAATATGTTGGAGGTGCAGCCGGAGCTAGATATTGTTCCGCAACGCTTACGCGATCTGTGCGATCGCACTAATCAAAAGAGACAGCTGCGTCTTATTGGTTGCGTGGGTGCAACACATCCGCCTATATCGGTATGATTGCTGAGCGGATACCGCGTTCCACCAATTGAAGAACAAGCAGAGGCGTCAAGCCTTTCGTGACGAAATTTCTGACATTCGTCACCAACATGCGGCACTACAGAGCTAGATTGAGAAAATAGCTCGGGACCAAAAATGTTTTGAGGTTCTTGAGCGCGGCGGGTGCATTCGCCCTAGGAGGAGACCTCATGCTTTAGTACGAGCGGAGACGGCTGACGTAAAATGCAGGATGCGTGTGCATCCCGAGGCAACTCGATCGTGCACGCATTGCCTTTGCGATGAAGTACACAAAACGTGTACTTGGGTAGCAGTGTACTACTACCTACATTAGTTACTGCGTGCTGTGGCATATTTACCGTAGAGAGTAGAACTAAGTCTACAACATTAAATGGAAGAATGTTTGCTCTTTCATGTCTGTCAGCGTTCCGTTTCTGCCAGTCAACCGTGTAAGAGATGGATTCTTGCACGTAACAGACCACTGAATCTCGTGCCAGCAGAGAAATTTTCTGCTGACACTGTTGTGTTTGTAGCATTGCGCTTTATGCGCTCCGCTAAGAGGTCATGATCTTTTTAGCGAGGGTGTTCTCATCCTCGCTGGTGCAGTCTTGGCGGTGGTAAATATACCATCTTCGTCACCCTCATATGGTCATCAATAGTGTTGTTACTATTGCTGATGTTATCGTCTTCGATGTCAAACTGATCGACATCGGCAACGTTCGCGTCGTCGAGTACTTTGACACGTGATGAGCAAGATCCAAAACGGTCTATGCTCGAGCTAATCCCCGGCTTGCATCAGAGTCACACTCTAAATGTGTGTGTAGGCGTGGATGGCGTAAGTCATTCACGAAGAACGGTGTATGCATTGTCGACGCATGTACGGAGTTGTTGGTGGAATACTCCACCATCGGCAAACGTTTGCTCCAATCTGTGAAAGATTAGACCCATTATCGAAGCATCTCTGTGAGACGCCGTTGACGCGTGCTTTCTGAACATCTGTCTTGGGATGGTCATAGGTAGACATGGTCAGACGTGTTCCGAGGGATCTAAAACGGATTGAAGAAACGCCACCGGTAATCGAGGATCTCTATCGATTTCTAGTTTACGGGACTGACCCTGAAGTCTGAATATCGTGTCAATGAAGACACGGGTGCATCCCTGTGCTGTGGTTGACTCCCGAACGGTAGCAAGATGTACCATCTGGCTGAAACGATTAACAAACACAAGAATGCAATTATTCTTGTGAGCGATTCAGGAAACCAAAAGATGAAGTCCATTGAGACGGACTGTCAGCACCCTGCGGGGATTGGTAGAGGCCGTAGTGGTGCACGGGATGAAGGAATGGGCTTCAACCGGTGGTATACCTCGCAAGCACAAATGAATTAGAGGACGAAGGTGATTGTGGCGGGGACAGTGAAAGTCGCAATTTACCGTGAGATAAGTCTTCTCATGCTCACGATGCTCACCAAGTGGTCCATCATGATGCTTATACAAGATGCGCAGGCGCAAATCGTTGTCGGTGGGGAAGACAACACGAGGTGTGCCGCCAGCAACAGCTGTATAGTATAGCAATCCATTGCGTGTTGTGTATCGATTCGCAAGGGATTGATACAAGGCCGGTAAGTCTTTAAAAGATTTACGTGATTGAGTCACCAGATGATCCATTAGTCGCAGAATAGCCTTACCCTCTACTCAGGCATTTTTGATGTCGTCAAGCAATGTAAACGACGGAACACTAGTGACTAGTGTTGCAACAGTGGTTTCAACCCCACTCTTGAACTGCTCAGCCGACTCGAAGTCGGATCGGCGCGATAACGCGTCCGCGACGACATTAAGTCTTCCGGGCTTGTACTCCACGGAGAAGTCGAACTCCGCGAAGAAGGACAGCCACCTCGACATCCTTTGCGAGAGGTGTGGACTATTTACGGCCGTGCGTAATGACAAATTGTCCGTATCGACTACAAGAAGTCTATCTCCAAGGAGATAGACGCTAAACTTTGCCAGTGCATTTTCAGGGCAAGGAGGTCCTCTTCATGCCTTGAACGATTGCGCTCAGCTGCTTGCAGCTGAAGCGACTGATAGTAGACGACGCGCTCTGTGCCTTCTGCACCATACTGAAATTACGCGCAGCCTATTGCGAATCTCAGACGAGATAGGTAAACGGTCAATTCGGCGTCGTTGCGCGAGTACTTGTATAAGGACGCCCCTAGACCAAGGAACTTTAAAGGTCACTTCAAATCGACTGGCACAGGCCATTCGGTGATCGCATTGTTCCTTTCGGGATCAGGGCGCACGTCGTGCTTACCCACGATGCTATCAAGAAGTGGGCTTTCGCTTGCAGTGAATATACACTGCTTGAGGTTGACATACAGCTTATTCTTCCGCATAAGTGAAAGAACCTGATAAATTTGTGTTCTGTGCAATTCTACGTCCTTCTTTTCATCCCCTCCTGGAAATAGACGAACCTATCGTCAAAGTGAATCAATGCAAAATCTCGCCCTGGGTTCAATGTATTCGTAACGCATCGGTTGAACGTTGCAAATGCGTTACTTGGCCCCTGTGGCCACAATAGCCACTCCCATAGCATACCGCTTGGGATAATCACCGCTGTGTACGGTGAATACCATTCACGCGTGAGGATCTGATAGAATCCATCCATCAGATCCACGGACGAAAAGATGGTACTTTTGACACATCATCTATGATTACATCCTTCCTCGGTATCAACGTCTGAGCCGGTACCGTTGCAGTATTCAACTTGTTGAATGCGTGCACTATCCGCCATTCCTTTGGCCTTTCGCACAAAGAAGGTCGGAGAGCTGTGAGAGGAAGTTGTTACCCTCACATGGCCCGCTGAAAAGCAATCGGCAAAGAGTTTTCGATCGCTTGTACTTGTTCACGAGGCAGTGGACACTGCTTCATGACACAGTGCTTCGAGTTAGGCTTGAGCTCGATCTTTTGTAAAGTGCCTTTGTCCTTAAACAACTCTCATGGTGCGGATTCAGGTACACGAGTACTTGAATTTGATGAAATCCTCGTATGAAGGATTTGCCTGAGGCGACTTCCAAGATTCCGACGTGTATTGCTCAATCCGAGTCTTCTCATCGAGGACACTTTCGTCCATCGATAAGCTGTTGAGAACCCGTTCATTCTCGGAAATTACCACTGCCGACCAAATGTCGGCTACGTACTCATCCTCTATGACGATTTCACAGATCTGCTTGACTTTGCCGCTACGCAGTTCTCACAAGAACCGTTTCGGTGGCAATTGAGTGATCCCCGAAGTCAACTTTGGAGGCGCGACCAGATCAAGTGTATTATCGCCTACATTTGACCCGTCATCAACCAAGACACTTCCTGTCTCGAATTCTTCCTGGAAACTCTTTCTACAGGTTGCTGGGGACTTATTTTCTCAGGTTGATGAAGTCTTGTTACCTTATCAATAATTGTTCAAGAAACTTTTACCTTAAGTACGTGTGGACTTATTCTCATTGGACCGCTAGAGCTGGCTGATATTATGGCCCATATCATCCAATCGTTAGGAGTTTCTCTACATAACCCCTTATGTTAATATTTACGAACGTTATCAACCTTTATGATAATCTTTTAATCAACAAGTGTCAAGGTTCATTACATGTAACAGACTCACCCGTTACTGTATGTATGCCTTCTTTTGTAATGCTATTTATTCGAACACATTCTTTAAGATTCGTAGCTTCAGAAAGTTCACCATCGGACGTCTTCATCTTCTGATGTGAACGTTCTATCACAGGGATTGTGCATGGAGGTTCTCGTTGCGCTGGTATTCCGCGTAGTATTGCTAATTATTTGTGACCTCTTTACTAACAAAATGACACAATCGTGCACTGGTGTTCATACTGGGGCGTACTTTAAGGCCGAGAACATCTTCACTAACCGGTCGGACAGAAATGTCTTATTGCGTAGATTGTGCATGCAGATCATTCTTGGGTCCCCCCTGCGGCCTTGGGTAAGCACCGCCGTTCCATACACGTAACTGCAGTTTCGTTCCCTTTATAACTAACCCAAGGTCACTAAAAATGTGTGACACATAAGTTTTAGTTGTACCACCTAGGAACCCCAGCACCACAGAGCTCGGACTCTAAAAGAAGCACAAGCTTCTCACATCAATATGCCGGGGATCTAGACTGGCTGGTCCACAGAGAATTCAGTACGTAGTGGCCGTCCGGCTGAGGATGTGTAGGCCCCGCCAAAGAGGGCAGGCGTCGGTCGTTAGGAATACTAAATGTACCCGCTGTACTCACCAAAAATGCAGATCTCTTTTCTTCTACATGGTGACTAGAAAGTTCCTTCCGGCATGGTATTTCCATCGCAATTTGATGTTTTCACACGGTCCGGCCACTTGCATAGTGAGAATCTGCTTTATGGATCTAAAAAATACCTGTAAACCCGTTAAAGCTGTGTGACACGGTATTAACTGGTAAAACATTAAAAGCTGGTAAAAAGTGGGAGCAAGTGGTAATAACGTTAAGAGCTTGGTAAAAGTGCTAATACCCGGTAGAAAGTCACGCGACTTTTTACTTAACATCCCTAGAAACAGCCGACTAAGACAATGTTCGGACATGGAATACGTACTCGACAGGCGACCTTTGTATCAGAAGCACATACCTTGCATTACTCTCGGTGTGTTTTATGTACATAAACGTCAACGCTAAGAGGGATATCATTGCGACGTAGGTGCAACACATAGGACTGGTCATACAATCAGTCAACAGCACTGCATGCAAAAACGATACACGAGCGAGACAACGTCGATGAATCAGGCTTTAAGCATTGTTTGCTACTTTGCTGATCACTAATAGCCTGAGCATAAGCTAAGACATCGATATGGGTGCTGCTAAATCGTCAGCTCGTTGGACTGTTGAGCTTGCGTTGGGCTCAACATACGACAAACAAGTGGCGATTTCATTGATCCATACGATGTGTACATATTATAGAAAATTGTGCAAGGAGATGTTATGGCCGACGTACAAACATGCTGTGGCTATCGCGAACGGCACGCCTTGCTCGAATGTTAGCTGTTCGCGCGAATCAAAACGAGATTGGAATAGCACTTGCAAGTATTAAAGCAATCTGCATGCGTCTAATGATGAACAAGTTGTAGAGCGGCCGAATGGAGGCCAAAATGTCATATTGAGAAGTAAGTTGACAAATGACTGAGTGCAGTCTACGTCAAGATGAAGCAGTCTACAGCGCTGTCCTCATTAGGACATGCGTTTAATGATCGGAGGTCTCGATATCCGAGAGTTGTGATATCCTTTTGATTTTTAATTTGATGTGTGGTAGCAAATACCCAGGAATAGACAGGAAAATGACCCCAAGATAACTGTCGTCAGACTGTAGGCACGGTACTTTACTTGCAAACTCTTGGAAAGGTTCGGCACGTTTTGTGTCGAGATGAGGCACATCCGATACTCTATTCCAAGTGGTTTGATCTTGGAAGCCGTAACAACGCTTGGCAGTGTCTCCGTATAAATGAAAGTGCTACGTCACTGGAACCTTGCTAATGTCAACATTTAGCCTCTACGACCCGACATCAACGGCCAAGATCCTGTCGATGGATACCAGAATTATCTCGGCATATGAGCAGCGCCACCGCCGCTAGCAACTGCAGACTGCTACCGATCGTTTTACGAGCATGTGGAGGTTGCTACTACATACAACGTCAACCGACCTACTGCCATGCGCTAATTGCTAGCAACCTAGATTGGGATCTTGGTGACCACGCGTTCGATTGCTTCAACCACACGGTTTTGCTATGCTCTTATCTGCCCAACCCTGTGATGGGGATAGAGAACAACACGGATAGTCGAAGGAGGTTGTAGGCGGAGAAGAAGCCAAAGCAGAAGCTGGTTCAAAGTGCTGTGTGTTTGGAATCACTTGTCACCTTTTGGGCTTCTTGATCACATTGAAATGGATAGTGGGCTCATTTGGACCTAAGTGAAGACGAGATTACACAACAGGCTTGACATCAGTGAACGACGAGCGGACGGTGAACACATTGGAATCCTGGCACCCGTCGCAGAAAGGTTATTAGAAGATCATCATCCTGCGCGGTGTTTGCTCCTTGCTCAATGAACCCAAGAAGTCATTAGGATGTTTCGAGAGATCGTCGAACTTTCAGCTTGATAGTCGCAATGTACGCAGTCCCCAGCCATCGTTGACCTGGATTCGAAGTAGGTGTTCTCTTTCCCGATAAGACATGATACTAACGGTGGCGTTTGATCTGAATCCTACGATGATAAATCGAGCCAAATTTGGTAGCAATTCCAGTCCGTCAATTCTGTTGCCCATGGTGGCTACAACTTGTAACTCATCAGCCGTAAGCGGACACCAACTTCCACCGCCAACCGGAGTTGTTACCGCCAACCGGAGTTCTAGCTTAATTAGGGAGCACTGTATACTCTTCTATGACCGAGTAGGACGTTGGGGTGACGTACAGTGGTGCAGGATCAATTACACGAAACTGACATGATGTGTGAAACGATACATGTGAAAACATGAACGTCTCTACCATATGCGATGTACTGAGACCGAACGTGATGCGAATTAATTGAACCGACTTGTTACAGTGCGGAGGAGTTGCGTCTCTGCGTGAGTGAACGCTACGTGAAGTGCCATGAGACAGGTTAGCAATACGATACTTTCTACCAGCTGCAAAGATGAGAGAGAGAGGCGGACGTGCCTAACAACCTTGAATGGTTGCAGGATGTCTAATGTGTAACGTCGCTGCAAAGATGTAGGCAGACAAATTGACTGAAAGTGCACGGTCTCCACATTGTTCGGACGAACCGTTGACTCTCGGCTGCAGCCGGTTTTGCCTCACATCGGCTGTTGACACTCACGCAGCCGTTACAGTACATGTGTCGGTAAGAACAGACAGGCTCATTCAGCCTACACTTTTGACATCGCCAATGAGAGGGCTGCAGCGATCCTGCACCAGAATCCGTCTCGTTCGAGGTTCTCCCGACATGTGGTAGCAGAGGCTGCGCTTCCCGTCGTAGTTTGTCCAGCAACAAACCGAGGGTTTGACATCCTTCTGCTTTGATCTTCGCGCGTGACGTCTGGGTCAGTGTTCAGCATGCACGTGCCTAGCAATCCACTTTCGCGTGGACAGACACCACGGTAGTGCATGGACGAGGGTCAGTGGGTTGCGTGGCAAAAGCACAAGCAAACACACGCCGGAGACGGGGTGCCAAGCGATGCTGGATTACGCTCGTTTCGCCGGCCTTCTCTCACTTTGCACAGCCAGTTGTTCTACGTGTGGACCTAAACACTCCTGGTCGTGCCGATATGCCGGCACTGGAAAATCATTCGCGTGCAACTGTGCGGGACAACGCCGAGCCACTTCGAATTTTGAGCCAGTGGAAGTCAGGGATCAGGCAGCAAGGAGGAATCTTGGCATTGCTGCATCCACAGTCGTCAGCTGCCAGGAAGCCGGGCTCTGGAAATCCAGTCAAATTGATCGGCCGTAATCGATTGTTGGGTACTCGCGAAATGGACACTATCACTTGAAATGAAGATTGCGATAGCTACAGGATGGATGGGGTAGAAGGTGATTGGAAACGCTTTTGAGTATATCGCTGTTAGTAGAGATGGTTCCATTCTTACGACATCGAGGTGTGTCCACTGCCACTCATCAGCAAATGTAGAATAGGATGAGACGATTCCGCGAGCTTAACCTCGGTCTGATAGCAACCTGGAACACTAGACAACAATGAACGAACAAACGTGTCATGTTCTTTCACTGAAATTACGAGAACGCTTCGTGCAATAGCACCTTAAATGAACGGACGAAAGCAAGGGTGAATAACAAAGCCCACGACGTCATCCCAACTACACTGCATACGACTTGCCCGGGTAAGCCTGGAGCACATCCGGTGCTCGAAAGTCGCAGCTGCCGGGCTGGTAGCAGCGGACGTGCGTGCGCAGCTGAGCAACCGTACAACACGGGCAGAACCACGTGCTGAGCCAATCCGTGAACACCGAGCCCGGGAGCTCAAACCGCGTGCGCGTTTTCACGCGGAGGTACCAAATGAAGACCGACAGCAGGAGCTGCACAATGAGCGTGATGACGACAAACGTGACGTTCACGACCTTGTTCGAGTCCTCACTCGAGTCGTAGAAAAAGCCTCTGTACTTCTTGTCTTCGTCACCTGTCGACGTCCAAATGAGCGTAAACACAGCGAGCTCAACGAGCGTCACGAAGACCATCAAACTCAACACGACGCGGTAGGGAGCGATACCCAGTCGAGTAGTCAGCTGGGCCAATGCCACGCATGGACAGAAGGTGACCATGAAACAATTGGGCGTGAGGCTGTCAAAGCAGTCGAAGAGACCTGCGGCCCATGCGCCCGTAGGGACCCCGTCACCTGGGACGACTTCCATTGCGCGGGGCGTATCAAGTTCCAAGGCCGTTGATGGGGACGGTAAGTGGTTCGTCGAGTTCACATACGTCGGCGTGAAGACACCTGCTGTCGTCATTTTGGTGAACTGCGCGCGCGTGGATCCAGGATTCGACATCGTGCAACGGGTCTTGACTGTGTAATGACGGGTGGCGGAGGTCGCACTTGCGGCCGAGACAGCAAGTTGGAAAGTGACGAAAGGTGAGAAGGGATTGGGGAGTTAGTTGCGTTTGGGCTGGGCCGATGTGATTGTTCGCAGCTGTTCGAGTTTTGCCACCTCTTTCTTGGGTTCGGTGTTAGAACCCTTGCGACATCTGAGTCACACGCACATCAACGACGACGTGCCGTCATCGTCCCCCTTTTTTTTTGATACGCATCAATTTCCACCACTAAACACCGGCTATTTCATGGAATCAGATGTACAAATAGAACGGCATGAATGAACCAACAAATAGACCTACCCACTACGTTGATGGTAGCGACAGCCGCGGTTCATTGGCCCACGTGCTACTTTTGGGTACAAATAGTCCCTCGAATCTCGCTTGACCCTTACAAATGGTCCTTCTTGTCACATGGGATAGTGTCTCCAGCGTCAATCGAAGGCCTTGCGACAAAAGTATCTACAGTAGTGGTAGTAGCCAGCGGACAGACAGGATCCAAAGACTTGGAGCCAGCATCGGGATCTGACGAAACCGCTGCACCATTTCCACCGCCATCGTCGAACAGCCCATCATGCAGTGCCATGCGAACTAGTGGCTTCCGTTTGTACGTGTAGCCAATGAACTTGTTGAAGGTCAAGGGCTTGCCATCCGGGCCAAATGCTTGCGGCAGCTCGCCTGCGCTGTCATCACGTGACGAGGCTCCATTGGCCATTCCACGAGCTGCATCGCAAAAGTGTCCATTCATTGTCGCTGCAGCAGACCCCTGCGTCATGTTCGACGTCTGCACTGGAGCTGGTACAGGCAATTCACACGGCTCTGTAAACTCGTCGAAGTTTGATGTGATCTGTCGAACCAGCTCTTGGTATTGCGGGCCACCCTGGTCGGGTTCGTTTACCTGCAGTTGGTTCAAGACTTTGTCGAACTGCGCGCCGCCACCCGGCGGAATGTGGGGAGCTTGGATAGAGCGTAACGTTGACCAGTCTACGCCGTTGAACCATGGATGTCGCTTGATCTCGTCAATCGACCTTGTGCCCAGTCGGTTCTCTGCATTGCAAATGAGGCCCCTGACAAAGGACATACAGTGCGGACTCAATCGGGCGACGGCCTCCTGCGGGAATCCGAACGACTGTTTCCAATTAATGATCTTGCGGCACGTCTGCACCGGTTCGTCGGCGTAAAACGGTGGGTAACCCACCAAGCATTCGTACAAGATCACACCCATGGACCACCAATCACACTCCTTGCCGTATCCCTTCTGTGCCAGCACCTCTGGCGCAATATAGTCCGGCGTACCAACAGTACTGAACGCAACCTGTCGATAGCGACAGAACGGTTTGCTACGTGATGCATCCACGCTATTGCCACTCTCACCACCAGCTTTTGCTGCTGCAGCTGCTGTCTCGGGGTTCATCACGTGTTGCGTGATCGGTAACAAGTCCACCCGCGAGTCCATCTTCTTGCACAGTCCCAAGTCAGTCAGCTTCAAGTGGCCATGCGCATCCAGCAGCACATTGTCCGGTTTCATATCACGATGGATGTAGCCAAGTTCGTGCACAGACTGGATCGCCAGCACCATTTCTGCCGCATAAAAGCGCGTCGTGGCTTCATTCAGCGTATCTTCCTTCATCAACAAGCCCATGAGGTCGCCTCCCGGCAAGTACTCCATCACCATATACAGCCGATGGTCATCTTGGAACGAAAAGTGCAGAGTCACGAGCCAATCATTGTCTTGAGCAGCACTTGCCAAGATATCGCGCTCGGCCTTGACGTGGCCCACCTGATTCTTGAGCACCATCGCACTCTTCTCGAGCGACTTGAGCGCAAAGATCTCGCTGCTGTCTCGTTTGCGCACCAATCGCACTTCACCGAAAGCGCCTCGACCAATCACAGCCAGTGGCTGGAAATCCCCCACAGCCAAGCGCTTGCGTTGATGCCGCATACTCTGGAGCTCTTGCGACCGGAGCTCGTGGCGGTACTGCTCCTTCTTGCGCTCCGTGAGACGCAGCGCTTCCATCTGCTGCTCCAGCACGTTGCGTCGCTCGCGACTTTCTTCGCGCTCGCGCTTCATCGTGGCATACTTTTGCTCGAGGTAGGCCTTGGTGGCTTTGGCTTTTTCGCGCGTCGAGTCGGAGATCATTGGGCGAATGGCTGGATCGGGTTTTGGGTATACGGTTCGAGGGATCCCGATGCTGATTGGATGAAAAGGAGGGACATTTGGCTCAAATCTCTTGCTTTTTGCACTCCATTTTTTGCCAACTTAGAGCAACTCACACCGGGTGTCCTTTTTCCGTGACAATTCCACAAAAACGTCCATTTTTTATATTCAGATATGAATGCACTGGTTGCTCTACTATTGGTACAAATTGCCATCAGCTTATCCATTGCAAAATTCGACGCAGATTGGCTACAGAATTTGTCAAGAGCCAGTAGCCGATGCATTTGTGTGGCGGAGGAAACAAGATTCTTCGTCTTACTATTCAGGGAACGTCGAAATAATGAGCGGCAAGCGCGGGCGAGGATGGGTAAAATCAGACGTGGGACACTTGTGCTCGGCATGGATCCAGGTCAGCGACGGCAACTTCGTTGGGACTGGCCAGAAAGCGGATGTTTCTGGTGCCGTGTTTGTGACACATGAGTCGCGCGTTTGCAGGCTGATGGTGTAGCGGAGATACCACAGCTCTAAAGTCAGAGGAAGACTTTGCGGGTATAGCCAGAGGATTACGACTAACAGCCAAATAGTTCTAGGGAACTAATATGTCAAGTTAAAGAGTCGACGAGTTCTACGAAACTTAGCGCGGACTCTATGAGCTATCAGCTCAGACATCTGATATTATAAGGAACTACTCGCACAATGTGCAAAGGAGAATACAGGAGTCTACGGACTCTCAAACCCACGACAGTCTACGGAACTGTCAAGCGCAACGTGTGAAGGGGTGGAAGTCTACGGACTTCTGCTCAAAATGAGAACTAAATTTATTTCGATTTTAAATCGAGGAAAATTCTACTTGAGTACCCTATATTAGACTAAACTGGAACTAATATACATATTAGTATTTGAACTGAATGGATGTTTGACACATCACTCAGTTATCAAATGATGCGGTACAAAGTACTTCCGCGGTAAGTACCGTAACTCAGAGAATACCGACTAATCGGTATTCTCTATTAATAGAAATCTAAGGCCCAACTTGTCTCCCATATTACCTCTTGAAAATCTTCAATCAATTTGGCCGATGACTAGTGTGACCTCGTTACAGATGGGCTGCCAGCGCTGAATTAGGAATGGAATCACGCGCAAGCAAAATATGGGTCCATATCGCAGGATGTGTCGCTCCTCGCTGCAAAGTAAAAGCAAGGTATAAATCCGAACGAAAGCCGCAAGACTGATGCTTTTTCCCATTCGTCCCACCCGGATCCAATCAGGCGGTCTGAATTTTGTTTCATGAACTGCTATACCTTTTTCAAAGACTCGCTTATAATGGATCACTCAATACGGTCAGAGGAAGAAAGCGCCCAAAAACATTGACTTAAGTCATTCATCGCGTATCAATGCTGAACAGGGCATCGACGTGCCCTCGGATGCCTCAGAAACACATTCTTCTTAATTTACAGACAACAAGTGTGCAAAGACGGAAAAATTAAGCTTGAGATCATGGGACGTAGCGTAAAGGTCGCTGAGGACATCGCAGCCACGATCGAGGGCAAGACTGAGACCATTCGACAGCATGTTTAGCTCAGGTCATCGTCAAGCAGTATATCTTTGATAAAAAAGAGAATGACCGGTGAAAGAAAGATAATTTATGATGACAAGGACATGCTCAGGACGATCTAACTACTGTTTCAAAGGCATTTGTACTGCTTGGTGGCGATGAAGATGCTTATTGACCATGAGCCAGCCGCTTTTCGCCGAGTACTGAATAAAAAACTAGTACGCGGCAGACCATTTGGCTAAGCTTGACAAGGTGAGCAATTCGGTAAGGATTCAAAAGAACAGTAGCCATACATTTAGACTTGCATAAACAATTATCGTCCTCAGATCATCTCTTTCTCCACAAGTGGCTGAGTAAGTCTTGACGAAGGTTATGATACTAGGTTTCACACTGAATAGCCTCGAGCGCGACAAGAAGCTCCTTAATTGTGCTTGCAGTCAACTGCCTTTCGAATGGAATTGTACCGTTAATGTGTTCTTCGTTTTTAAATAGGTACTCTCATTTTGATCAAGATTGTCTTGCTGGTCCCTTTCTTTCTCCGGTCTAGTATTGTTCAGGATTATAAAACTCGTTCATGACATCTATCATGGCGTTCTTGTACAAGAACTTTCATGTCAGGTCAGTAATGCGCTAGTGATCCTTAATTACGTCAAATGCCACTTCGATATCCTTATACTCGCCCCCTTGGCGACTACAAAAAATCGCTCACTTTGCGATGAAAAAAATCGGGATCACCTTCACAAATACGGCTAGTTTGGGATAAATACCATCCGCACGGTAAAATCCGTTACGGTACGTATGCCCATTCACCACAACCTCCACGCTAGGGGAGGTATCATTTAACAAGATTGCAAACAACGGCGATGCGTTGATGATGCAAATGTCGTTCAGCAAACGAGGTGATTCAAAATTGGCGTGCCAAAACCACAGGTCTCGGCAGACTATGTCCTCGAGACCCAGTGTCCGCTTTTTGCTTAATCCAAGCACAATAGGGAAGCTGCGTTCGTATAAAGTCAAAGAAAGCACCTCAGGTCATCCTCATTTGGTATCTTATATACTCACTACCGAAAAGGTCAATAATGCCATTTGTAAAATGCTGAATCACCTGCAGAATGGTTGACTCGCCCATCTCTGTATTATCGTCGAAGCTATCAGCGTAGCTTCTGTATACCAGTACACGCAAAGCGGCTGTCACTTAAAGCAAGACGAGATTTCTAATTTTCCAGTTGCATCCGGTCACTGCAATAAGATTCATTCGCTCTTACCTTATCATACACACGTTAAAACAGGCGCTTTGACACCCGGAAACGGCGACTGTAACGGGGTGAGCCGTTACATAACAATTTACAAGAAATTGTTAATAGAATATAACTATAAGAGTTATATTCTCAGAATATTGTCATAAGGACAAATGTTCTGCAGCACTTACGAGTAGTTCCTAAGTGGTTGATACAGGCCATTATATCAACCAACGAAGACGCGCCACGACAGACGCATGCAATGAGTGGTGAGCAGATAATTGATTTACACATTTGTATTTAGACATAGTTAGATGAAGATAAATAGTGATTTATTGCAGACATTAACTATGATAAATACAGTTCTACTTTTTACTTAAACCAAGAACTCGCTTCTCCTTACCGTCTTCCTCAGCACGTACGAGTGTACGTGAAGTTCCGAGGCACCGCCTTATTCTGTCATATGAATAAGTAGCTTGTACTGTTACCAGTACAAGCTTCAGGGTGCCCTTCACACCTGGTTGCACTTCGTAGTCCATCCAAGGACCACGTTCATATCTAACATGAATATGTTAGATGATGAAGATGAATAAAGCTTTCACGCCACGCGTGACGGCTACTCCCATTTGAGAGATGTCGAATGGGATGCGGTTTATCGGATGGGTTCAACCATGGGCATCCATGCTGTTAGCGTCATGCTATAGGATCTCAATAGAGATGCCCAACATGCTACTATCGTCAAGTTCATCCAAAATGAACTTGACGCCGAACGCGAGAAAGTAGCCTTGCTTCACCAACAAGGTTCTCAACAAGCAGAGTTGTTGAGAGAACAGGGTGTTCAACAGTTTGAACTGCTGAGACAGCAGCAGGCTGCTGCTGGTGGGTCGATGCACTCGCGTAGACCCGAGGCTTTGAAGATTGACATCTCCAAGTATAGGGGAGTCGAAGAGGACTCCCTCTTGAGATGGTTCGTCGAATTGGATGACGCCATAAGAGCGCGTCGCATCGACGACGGGATATGCAAGTTGCATTTGCACAGTCAAATCTGGCAGGACTTGCCAAGACTTGGGCACTGGGGCTCAAGTTGCACGACCCATATGCGTTTGGGTCGTTGGAAGTCTTCAAGTCGCGGCTCAGACGAACGTTTGAGCCGCCTAGAGCTGAGTTCAGAGCTCGAACCGAACTCTTGAAGCTCAAGCAGGGTAAGCGTGATGTGCACGCTTACGCGCAACATATACGACATCTCACGAGTTGTATAAGTTCCAACCCGGTTGATGAACACACGTTGGTTTCGGTGTTCATGCAGGGTCTTGCGGATGGTCCCGTCAAGACTCACCTGTTCCGACTTGAACTAGATTCACTAAAACAAGCCATTTCCATTGCGGAACAGGAAGACTTCAGTCTGAGACAGGCTCGCGCCAGCTCGACATCGTATCGTCAACCGAGACGATATGACAGCGGAGGTCCAGAGCCGATGAAACTCTGTCATGTAGAGAGCAAGAAGGCTCGCTCTACGGACTACAAGAAGTTGCAGACATGCAACAGATGTCAAAAGACGTGACACTACGCTTACGAGTGTAGTGCCTCTCGTCCAGTGTCTCTCAACACTGGTTGTAATGACCGTCCACCCATGAGAAAGGGGCAGGGACGCGGGTCCGCTGTTGGTGCAAAGACGCAACAACGGGATGGACCGTCAAAAAAACGGACAGGATCAGTAGGTGCGGAGCACCCTACTGATCCAGCAACGTCAAGAGAATTAGGTAATGATATCTCACTCATTACCTTGAAACTCGAAGTGACGAATAAGTTGTCCCTTCGAGCTCTAGTCGATTGTGGGGCGTCCAACAATTTTGTGCGACGCCAATCGCTAGAAGATGGTCACTTCAAGTTTGTTGAGTGTGACACACCTCCTACGAGGATGACGGTACGTCTTGCGACAGGCGCATCCGTAACCGTCATGAAGCGTATAGTGAAGATCCACTATACGCTAGAAGATACCCAATATGACGATGACTTTATCGTATTGGATTTGGATGACAAATTTGATGTCATCCTTGGAATACCGTGGCTCAGAAGGTACGAACCACGAGTAAACTGGCAACATCGAACAGTAACGATGCCTGCCGCTTGTTCATCAGATGGCCATCTGATGAACGTTTTGGAGCGTCCACAAGCGTGTGGATGTACTA